GTAAAAATGCCACTTTACGATTCCACGAGTCAAAACGAATTTCGAAATTGCATCCGACACCGGGTGTACTTGTCCGTTCTGTCGCCTCGAAACGTACGTCATCGAGTTTTATCGAAGCTCGCCGCATTTTCATAAGAATGTACAACAGTTCACGGCGAACGACCATGAACTTCTACGGAGGATAAGCTTGTCCTTATACACGCTTCTTCCACATAATGGATCGCGTAGAGGAGGTTGATCAAATCTCCTACAATTTACAGGTACATTTCATTTTTTTTTCTTCTTTTTCTTCTTCGTACGGCTTTTTTTTAGGATTATGCGAAAAATTGGTTACTGATCGATTCCGAGGAAACGAACGAATCGGTAGCATACCTACCGCGCGGATCATTTTGCTACACGAATTTGCTCGCTACACTGTCGCGTTTACGCTTGATGTTTTAGAGAGGTTATGGCAAACTGGTGACGTGACGTTGTCCGTTTTCAGGAAAATGAAGCCGTTGTTTAATAGATCGTTAGTGAATCAGTTGGTAATATGTTAGGTTAGGTCATCCCGTACGCAATGCGGTTTTTCTGTGAGTACTGGAACTCTCATTAGTTTATAATTTTCGTTAGAAATTTTGTTAGAAGACGTAAAACAGTATGTTTTTAGAGATTTAAATAATTTTTTGTAAAACTTGTGTACTCCATTATAAAATATTATAAAAGTTTTTCCAACTTTCATTTTCTGATAGAGATTTTTATGCTTTAATCTGTAGTCCTGGTGTTAAATCAATGAGAATATTACTATCAAAGTTTTGAAAAATTGGTATTGAAAACTTAATTCTTGAGTGTCAATCAAGATACAGTTTTTAAAAATAAAACATATATGATTAAATATCTATATCTGAGTGTAGGTTATATGCAATTGAATAAAAATTTAATATCAATTTGCAATTTTAGTTATTCAGCTTCTCATCGTAGATTGAAATTAATTAATTGTTTACAAGAGACAAATTAAATTGAAAGAATGAGGAATGGATGAGGATTAATAGAGAGGGATAATGAAATTTAAACAATAACAGTTTAATCAATATTTATCAATGTAATTTCATCTACTGAAAAAAAAAATTTTATCTGTGTAAAATCAACAGAACTCTTCAAACTTTTGAATAGTAGCTACAGTCATTTATAAATTGCAGATATTTTCTATATAGTCATTTTTAAATTGCAGATATTTTCTATACAGTCATTGTTAAATTGCAGATATTTTCTATACAGTCATTTTTAAATTGCAGATATTTTTTATACAGTTATTTTTAAATTACAGAATTAAAAGTGTAGAAATGCAAAGAATGCAAAAATATATAAATATATATATAAAATATTGAAAGTGAAATATTTATTGTAATATTTAGTGGTGAAAGGAAACTTCATTTTTTGAATTGTATTTATAAAATTATGAAAATCTTCAATCATCGATATTTGAGAATTAAACTCTCTTTTGTTCACCGTTGTGTTCGCTGTACGAACGATATGGTGTAATAATTTAAAACCGAATATTCTTCTTGCAAAAGAAATATATATATATATACAAAACACAATGATTGCAAGATAGGTGGCAAAACGATATATTCTTCATTCGTGACTCCGTCTACAAGTTGTCGGACTTGTTGCATACCAGGTGGTCCCGCGAGACAAGATCTCGCTGAGATTGCCTCGAAAATAGGTTCATTGGCTAATTGAAATGGCAATCGACATGATATATATAGCGTGTGAATAATAACTCGAACACAAATCTAACCGCGCTCGTTGCAAATTGGATATCGGACAGTTTCTGTCACACTATTTACTACCACGAATGATTTATCAACGCTGGTCTCGTGATCAAAAATTGAAAAGGCCAATTGGCAACTATCCTTTATATCCTAGAATGTTCGGTTAAAGCGCCGTTATGATTTATTACGTCAGAGTAGACTTAATGGGAAGAAAATTGACAAGGTGAATATATTATAACTGTTAGTTAAGTATACACTCTCAAAAATCTTAGGACTTTTATTTTTACCTGACGAAATTGGATCGTCAACGTCCTCAGCGAAATTTCACTCGTGACTTTTTTAAAGCAAATTTTTATTCTGCTGAGAAATCCTTTAAATGCTTGATTTAAAAATTGTGTAATAATGAAAGCTTCGTTAAGTAATCTAAAATTTTTTGACATGTTTCTGGAGAGTCAAAAAATTGGTTTCTTTTTTTTTACTGTGCTACAAAATATTTATTGGTGATGACGTTTTTCAATTACACTTGTATTCATGGGAACAAAGGAAATTTGTTCGTACCTATGTTATTTCCAAATTAACGATATTCGAAAATAATACTTCTGCCCAAAAATCTTAGAACATTTCTTATTTTAAATATTATTATTATATGTACATAATATATTATTATATTATTATTATATGTATATTACATATAATATTGTATATATAATATACAAAAGATTTTACTGAAATTAAATAAAATTAAATGAATAATAATTAAAAACTAATTACCTAAAGTAAAGAAATCATTAAAAAAATAATTAAAGGGAGAAATGAATTCGTAAAAATATAGCTTCAAATAAAATTTTACAATTAATCAATCAATTGATCAATTTATACAATATTCACAATAATTATCGATCATCGATTAATCAACTATAGATAAAATTATAAATTTAAATTCACTGATAACCATAGAGCTAAAAATAAATTATTAGCCATCAATGTTCCGTATTCACAATCGAATTTTATTTACACGAAGCGAAAGATTTAGCTTGCATAAATTCGAAAACGCACGTACTTAAAGTGAAGAAAGAATTGACGAGTGCTGTATATTGCTTGTCTCAATTCTGTCAATCATATTCCGCGAAGAAAAAGAAAAAAAAAGCTAGTTGAAAGCAGATATAGCGAACCTCACGCTCGCATTAAAATAATTACTGCCTACCAATCAAAATACCTCAGACGGGCAATTTACATAATTGTACGGCCAATCTGTCAAGTGTCATTTTGTAGAACACTGAATCTGTCTTCTTCTGAATTTGCTTCCGCCGAGTTCCACTCTGGTGTCTGTAATTTTTCTTATCTTTTCCCAAGTCTTTTTTTTTTTTCACCAAGCCAAACGTCGTGCATTTTTATGCATGCACATATGTAAATAAAAACGCGAAGAAAGTGTACCTACCTATTACAAAATTGAGGCTTTGCATGATAAGTAGTCAAGTCGATGAAACAGACAGTTTAATTTTTATATCTTGGTTGTCTTTCAGTTTTATGAATTTTAACGACACACGTCAAAGAAAGAAGTATAAAATAAGCATGAAATGTGAATGAAATTATAATCCGTGTCCACAAAGTAGTTATGCAAAATTTCGGTCTAACTTAGATTTTTAATATTTTTGAATACATATTCAAAGAAAATATTAATTCATCAATAGATTCAGAAAGCAGATAAAACCTTGATAATAATTATATTATAAAATGTATAGAATTATATAGATATATCATTATAATATTATAATTATGTCATAGAAATAATAATAATATAATATATGTAACATTACATATATATTTTGTATATTTTCTCACATTACGTGCATTCTATGCAATTTTGCACATTTAAATTTTCTAGAAATATAATAATCTTCAGTTTACTAATATTATTATTAATTTTCAATCTGACAAATTCTAAGACACAGATTTTGTTGCAATTTTAGAATTAATTTGACGATTTAAGAATTTGATAATTTTACAATTTTGCAACTTTAAAATTTTACAATTTTACAATCTTAGAAACGTAGGACAGAAGAATTAATTTCAAAATTTGCTTAAGTCTTTTTATTAATCTCAGTATCTTTCATTTTAAATAAATAAATTTGTCAGTTTAATTAAAATCTTACTTTCCTATTAGAAAAATGTATTACTAGTAATAACTATTAAATTTCATTAGTTTGATAATATTAATTTGATAAAACAAAAAAACAAATTACAAATCAATTACAATTTACAATATACAATATATTAATAGTTACAATATTCATAATATAACAATGTAATAAATACTAAATATCGAAGAAAATTTTGGGAAATTCAATTAATATTGCCTAAATCAATAAAAAAAAACTCTTTTTAAATATTTCCAATTCATTTTGAATATATCGGCAGTCTTAAACAGGAATTGGAGAAAGTTCAATGGCTACTGAAATTAGTTGGCTTTTTCTGAGAAGACGGCTGAGAAATTGAGCAAACAATTTCACCGAGCAGCGCACAAATGCGGTCGGTCGGTCTTTTATGCGCGTCCTTACTTCAGGGTGCGTGAATTTAATGAGCCATGCGTGAGGAATGTGTCCCTCGGAATCGGTTCTGAAGCGCTTGACGCGTGAAATAAATTCGCATCCTTCCTTCTCCATTGACAAAAACGTCCCCTTTCGTTCGCGGTGCGTGTCACACTCTCATAAGGCGATAAATAACGTCGCACAAATATAACACGCCACTTTTTTTTCCAGAGTAATTTCACTGCATTCAAAATTAACCTGGGAACGTCGTATTAAAGCAGTAATTGAAAACGTACGAACAAAAATAAGATAAATGTAGTGGTTAACTCGTAGAAAATATGCATTTATTGTTAGATTTATAAAACCATTATAGAATATATGGACGTATGGAATAGTAGGTATCAGGAGTGGGTAAATTTTATTTGAAATAAAAATAAAAAATAACAATTTGAAATAATTCATTAATCATTTTTATTGGTTTATTATTTTTATTTGAGAAATAATTTAGGAAAAGTAACTTTATCTTGAATCCAAATGAGATATATAAATCGTTTGTAAATAATTTTTTACTTGAGTTATTCATTCATAGAACTTAGAAATTATTGTATATATTAACTCTTCTTCTTCTTTTTTCAGAAAATATACTACTTTTCGAATATTTTATATATTTCTTTATATTATATTATTTTGTGTAATTTTTTTCATAATATAGGTTTACAATAATAATAATATAAACATAATAATAATTTTTATAATATATCTTACACTCATCCCTTATTTCTCCAACTTAACTCCCCTAGTGTCAAATCAAACCTACGATAAAAAGATAAATAATTAAATTTGCAAATTCTCTCATTAACAGTAAATAAACTAAATCTTTATTCAATTACGTATAACCTACCCTCAGATACAGATATTCAATTTTATATCATGATTCTATACATTTCACACATTCTTTACGAGAAAAATGTGTCAAATTGACACACAAAGGACAGACATTAATTATTTCATTATTTCCTTCCAAGATATATTAGGGGTATATAAGTAATACTGTTTTCTTCAGATTTAATAAACATTGGTCTAGTGACAATAATTTAACTTATTATAACATAACCTATATTCTAGTTAAATATGTTGACATTTAGTGCATTTCTTGTTAAATTATATTATAGATTAAAGCTATAATATACTCTTAAATAAAATAAAATTTTATTTATAAAATTATACATATACTCTATATATACTCTTAAATATAAAAATACTATATGTATATACTCTATATATATTCTACATATACTCTTAAATGAAATAAAATTTTGTACACTATCAAAAATGGGTATCCCTAATAAAACGATGCAACAGTTGTACCACTGTACTTTCTACGCTCAACGGAACACCTTGTATACAGCTTTGAGCACCAGCATAAATCCATAAACTGGTCGAATCTAACCTCGAATAGCAGTATCGAGTAGATCGATGAAACGGACGTGGCACGGACGAGCAAGTAAACGAAAGAGGTTGAACGATAGAAAGCAACGAGAAACGTACATAAATCCTCTGGCACCGCCGTAGGAAACGGTGAACGCGAGTGCGAGCATTTACGATTGTCCCGGTGTTGGAGCGCCATGAACGGAGACGAGCACATAACGACGAACGGGCAGACATCTTGGAAACGACAGCCGCGGCGCAATCGGCGACGGAATAATGAATTAGAGGTACGGCCTTTTGATAGGGTAATTTCGAGGGTAGGCTGCTGACACGGGGTTGGCGAGCCGGCCATTCCCAGGGCTGTTACGTCTAGACGTATCCGTGCTCCGGCCATTTCGACTTTCAGGTGTCCGTAATTATCCTCCGTACGGTTTGCACCGCGGCGCACGTATCCACCCGCGCCGCTTAAAGCCACCTTTCAGCTTCACGCCCTATAATTTTCGAAATTCACCCCTGATTTACGGCTACCTCTGCTCGAACCGTGCGCGAACGACTCACCGTATATATAACGCTATCGTCCGTGAGCGCGAGGTCTTTTGAAAAAGTAACGGGGGACCGGTTCTGTTGGTATTGTTTGTACGAGGGTATATTAAACAATTCGTAGAAAGTTGTTATAGCTCAATGCTTAATAAATAAACATTGTGATAAAGAAATTTGTTGATGAAAGAGAATTTGGAAACTATATGATGTTTTGAAAGTGACATATGTCACTTTGTTTTCTAACCTCTTGCGCTGTAATGACGTGCCACGCACGTCGAGAATATTTGATCCAAAATTGCAATATTTTCTCAGTTTTAAGTATATTGAGATATAACCCAGGCAGACTAAATGGTAAATTTATTACTTCTTAATAATTTCTATCCAGTGATATAACGATGAATTCAAAAAGAAGACGAATTATTGTATACAGTTTGGTCACTCGTTATGGTCCGCGAACCAGTTACTAGCGCAAAATGTTAAAGGAAGATATCAGAGGTTTGCGTTTTAACGTGTCTGGAAAAATGATACTAACTTTCAAGAAGATTTTTACTCGTTATCTTAGATAACTTTCGAGAAGATTTATTCGTTATCTTAGATAAGTATAAATAATTAACGAATTGACATTACTGTAAAAGTCTTACGCCACTTTCGATATATAAATAACTCGTGTGTGAGATAAAGTCTAAAATCGAGCGAGAAAAGTTGTTTTATTGCTTTATTAAGTAACTTAAAAGAGATCTTTTTTTTTACAAGCAGTTCTTGTAAAAAAAGAAAGGGGAAATAAGAAATTTTGAAATTCGAGCTGCTGTTAAGTTCTTTTTAAGTTAAGTTTAAGAGCTTCTGTCTCTCCCCCCTCCCTTCCCCTGCCCTCCTACATATTTGGCCCCTTTTAACTTCTTTTTGTTTCCATAGTTGAAGGAACATTAATGGGAGACACCTCATGAACCGAAACATGCTACAATATAGTGATTTATATCTCATACCGAATTTTACAGAAACGGATCAGAAAGGTGAAAACATTGCTACGATAAGAAGTTTAGAAGTAAAAGGAGTATATTTAAAAAAAAAAAAATTAGAAACAAAATTCTTTTTTCTTATATTTATACTTATTGTTTTTCTCCGAATTATTTGATATATCCTCGTGTAGAGTGGCCACTGAAAAACTGAAAGGCTTGAAAAAGTCATAACTTGTTCATTTTCAATCTTTTTTTATTTTCTTTCTTTGTAGGTTTCACACATAATACTAAAAAAAAATCCATTAATTATATTTCCAAATAAAATAATAAAAAATTGAAAGAAACGTGTGTTTGTAAAAGTTATTTTTGTTTCGTATCATTCAGTCTTTCAGTGACCATCCTGTATAATGAAAGATGTACAGGGTGAGACGTATTGTTGAAAGAAGAACGGTAATCAATGATGTCACTTTTTATTCTACAGTGAAGAGCGTAATTGTACCAACAACGATGAAAAATTGTCGATAATTTAAAGTAAGCACTATCAAATTTTTGCTCCATTCTAAACTTGTCTATTGTACTTATAAGTTTGTAAATTGTAATTGTAGTGTACACTTTAGTGTCTATACTATTAAATGAGTCATTAAAATTAAGAGAGATTACAGGAAACAGTCGTTCAGAAGGTTCAAAATATTAAAAAAAATCATCCAAATCGGCGAGGGAGTGATTCATTGACACTCATTCATCCAATCTATTTTTATTTATAATTTTCTGCGCCGAGTAACTACTATTCAGATATCTTTTTGTAAACATTTACCGAAAATTTGTTCACAGCTTTTCATATCAATAATAGAGATCTTCAAAGCGAAATATTCAGAAACATTTAGAGCTATTGCTCCATCCTGTATATTCTTAGCATTGGTAACTTTTAAATAATAATTTTTCCCTGTTTTGGTTTTTGTTCTATTGTCCATAAATATCTCTATTGTCCGTAAACGCTCTGTGTTTGATTTCTAAAAAAAGATAATGTTAGTTTAGATTGATTGTTTGAATTTAGAGAAATGGAAAAAATGATAATTTCCAGTGAGTTTTGTGCATAACAGGGAATATCAACTCTCTCGTGTCTTACCACGTATGTCCTACATTCTATGTCCTATATGCTCCAATATATGGATCGATAAAATCTATTTTACAATTTGTGATATCATTAAATGTTTATAATCTTCCGCTTTAAAGAGTTATAAGGTCACCATCAGTTTGACATTATTATCACAGCTTAATCTATTTCTAAATAGAAATAGCAGCTGAATTGATAATATACATACATTAATTCAAACTAAATTAATTTCAGATATTATAAAATATAGTATATTATAGATACAATTGAAAATGTGGTATTGAATTATAGTTATAAGTAGATTTTTATGCATTTATGGAAATATTCATAGAACGAGCACGATACACAAAAATGTATGAAATATCAAAAAGTTGAGGAAAAATATTTAGAATAAACGTGACTGGCATTGAATGTGAATACTCTAATACATTATTTCTTGGATTCTTTATTTTCTCAAAACTAAGTTCTTTGAACGTAATTGTTAATGAATTTAGAGCAATGAATGCTTGTAATATATTATAATATAATATAATTGTATAATAATTAATTGTAATATAATATAATTATATATATTATTATAATGTATAATAGAAACATTTTGATTACTCTATGACTTCTTTCGTTTTATTTATGTAATATTTATATAATATTTATATATATTTTATTTATAATATTTTTATTTATATATCACAATTTATTTAATATTTAATTAATATTTATATATATTTTATTTATAATATTTTTATTTATATATCTTGCATTTTATTTATATAATATTTATATAATATTTTATTTATAATATTTTTATTTATATATCTTGCATTTTATTTATATAATATTTATATAATATTTTATTTGTAATATTTCTATTTATATATCTTAAAATTTATTTATATAATATTTACATAATATTTTATTTATAATATTTCTATTTATATATCTTACAATTTATTTATATAATATTTTATTAATAATATTTTTATTTAAATATCTTGCATTTTATTTATAATATTTTTATTTATATGTCTTACATTTCATTTATAATATTTTTATTTATATATCTTTTCATTTTATTTATATAATAAAATTTATGCAATATTTTATTTATTTACATAATATTATATTTCAGGGCCCTCGGCCGTACCGGTGATAGTTACTCATGGACGAGGGAAGCTTGCACCAGCGCAAAAAGCTCCGGTCTTCTGGAGAGAAAGCAAGCGAGGGCGTGCAGAGCGGCGCCGGACGTGATGCCCAGCCTGGTGCAAGCGGCGAGGGATACGTCGACCGTGTGCCAGCAAGCATTTCGACATCGTAGGTGGAATTGCAGCAGCATCGAGCGTGCGCCAGATTACACGCCTGAATTACTTACCGGTACGTTCTATATTGGCCCGACACCTTTTATTTAACAGCGCGGAGATCAATCACGAAACTGGCCTCGGTGCTCATCTAAGATTCTATTTCGTTCACGGAAGTCGACGTGAGAAATGATATTGAATCGTAGATGTCGATGAGATTTCTCTTTTGTTGAAATATGAAGCACGTGACGAAGGGAAGATCGAAGGGAAGATTGTTGAATAAAATATTTGAAAAATGATTGTTTAAATGATACATCGATGTTATCCAATCCTACGTTAGTTTACTCGAACAGGCAAATTATTTTTCTATAAATTATTTAATCGTTTGGTTATCAAAATAAAATTGTTTACCTCGTTTTATATTTTGTATCTGTTCATTCTTCTGCTGAAATTGTTTATTTTATTTTAATAAAAGATTCATCCGACGTTTTTCTAAATTATTTTTTTCAAATGAAGATAATGAAAATGATTTGTTGTATCAAATTGTTATTTTTCATTTTTATTTCAAATGAAGTCCTGCTGGAGAAAGAGAAGCTGATGGTATTATTAAAATATACATTCATTTCACAGGTTGTGGCAAAAAACAAATAGCAGAAAGAACGAATTTCAGATTTTTAACTTGGAATCACATTGAATTTTAAAAATTTGAAAGAAACTTACTATAAACTTGAAAGCCGAAAGAAATGTGAACATTCATGTTACATTTGAACATGATAGTCGCGTGGTCGAATGTTCTCATGACTCGTTGCATATTTATTTATTTATTTATTTATTGTTTGATGAATTTCGATCCAGCAAAATACAAAAGTACAGAAACACCATATAACAAGAATAAAATTTAAATGTCCTGAAAACATGTCATGTCGAAATTAATTGAACGTTGAAAATTATTCGACTGTACGTGAGCATAAATACATGTAATTTGATCTACAGTGATATTTAGCATAATTCAGCAATTCTGTTAGAGATGTTGCTTTTGTTCATGTTGCACACGTGAATTATGGCGACGATTCGAGATGATTTCAGGGCGATTACATCGAGTTCTCGTGATGTATTTGTTTCGTTAATGCATGAATTGGCTGATCAGAGAAAGTGAACAACTGACATTCGCGAACTGACACGAACACGTCCCCAACACTAAATCCTTCTTTTTCACTCAGAAATCATTTTTATCATTGTTCGTGGAAACCACTTCCTAGATATGAATTTACACAAAGATAAAAATCGAGCGGTGGTAAAAGCTTTGATTCTGGATGAATAAAAGTCTTAAATAAAGTAAATAATTTATTACTTGAGATATGTATATTTTTTTTTTTTATTATGAAAGAATTGAGAATGAAGGTTGATTTTTTTTTCTTAAATTTTTAAAGCTCCAGATTCTAAGCACAATCACATTATTATCCCCAAGAAAAAATAATTATTCTTTTTTTTTTTAAATACGGACAACCATATAAAAATGAATTTCTTATATTCAACTATGTCACTACATCTCATTCATCTCATTCCATTAATTATTCACAAAAAAGAAATCTTTTCCAATAATTACCTTTTTTTTTTTTTTTTTTAATACAGACAACCATTTAAAAAGAAATTTAATATATTCAAACTAACGCACATAATATTTTTAATTAAACTGTATCACTTAAATTGTATTTGCAAGTGACCCAGAAACATTGAAATTCCTCGTATTTGCAAATCAAACTGAAATTACTAATATTATTTTCACTAATATTATAATTTGAACAAATGTAAATCACATTTTATAGAAATTTCAATGTCTTCAAATACTTTCAAATAAACTTCTCGCTAGGTGTAGTATCACCTCGTTCATCTCGTCTCATTGATTATTCGCAGTAATCCGTCCCAAATTCTTCCCAGTAATTATCCTTGAAATAAAGACAACCAAACAATGAGAAACTCGATCCAACCAAACTTTAAAAACAGTGTCGTAAGAAGAGGAAGAAAAACAGGATCATTTTTCAATAATTATTCATTTCCTCAAAGCGAAACCGAGCATGCACAAAAGAAAGCTACTCCAAAAGAGAAAGAGAGAGAGAGAGAGAAAGAAGAAACGATGCGAGGCTGAAAATAAGGATCGTATATCCTCGAAAATAAGGAAGGATATTTCACGTTAAATAGGAAGACCTCGAAGAAGCGGGGCTCAATTAGTGGTCATTATCGAGCCCGGCGCTTCCTTCCTCTCTGGTAGCTCCAGCGAATGTCGGATTAACCGTTCGCATTTGACGATAATTATATTGTAAATAAAAGTCTCGCTGGAGGCAAGGGAAGATCCTTCATTAATGAGAAAACCGAGAAGCCCGTGAGTTTCGGAGTGGTAATGAAAAACACACGGTTCCTCGATACACGTAGTATCGGCGGAGAGGAAAAGCCGCCCTTTCGCTATGCTAATCAGCTTTCCTTCAATTATTTCAAACTCGGCAACCCGAGAGAGAGAGAGAGAGAGAGAGCTGAGAAGACCGTGAATGCGGCCTCTAAAGCATCACCACGGACACGGGTACCATTACCAATTTGATTCGGTGGCGTTCGAGAGAGTCGACTTCTTGCCTCGTTAATTGCCCGCTTCGGAGATTTCTTATTGGGGAAATCTCGCGATGTGGCGCGTCGTCGCGCTTACGACCTTCGACCCAATTCACTTTTGCCGGAAGACTTTTGCTCTTGGCGGTAAAGCTCCTTATGGAACGAAAATAGAATCAAACGCGAGCTTGTTAAGCAAATTTGCCAATGGACAGGGCGAACAATGCCCGCTCGAAGAGAAGATTTACCTATAGTGTATTAGTATTGCAAAATACTAATATATTATAGTATAATAATATAGTATATTATACAGTATACTATAATAATATAATACTAATATACTATAGTATACTATATTTTGATATGCAAAAATTCAAAATATAGTATACTATAGTACATTGCAAAATACTAATATACTATAGAATACTATAATAATATAATAATGTAATACTAATATACTACAGTATACTACATTTTGATATGCAAAAATTCAAAATATATTATACTATAGTATATTGCAAAATACTAATATACTATAGTATACTATAATAATATAATAATATAGTATACTGTAATTTTGATATGCAAAAATTCAAAATATAGTATACTATAGTATATTGCAAAATACTAATATACTATAGTATACTATAATAATATAATAATATAGTATACTGTAATTTTGATATGCAAAAATTCAAAATATAGTATACTATAGTACATTGCAAAATACTAATATACTATAGTATACTATAATAATATAATAATATAGTATACTGTAATAATATAATGATATAGTATACTATAATAATATAATACTAATATACTATAGTATACTATATTTTGATATGCAAAAATTAATGTTGGCTTTGTGGTACATTCTCAATTAGAAATTATCTAGTTTTGACCAGTATCTTTCGTTACTATTCCTTTCATTTATTTATATCACGATTACTATTCTCCAACTTTATTTCCTTACAATAAAGCTATATTCTGTTCTTAATTTATTATTAAAAAAAAGTATTACACGAAAGATCATTTTCACAATGTTAAGAAAATCACTAAATTACCTACAACTTCATCCAGCCTATTAAGTTCTGACAGCTATTTACCCAATCGCATTCATTTTTCAAAAAGATCAATATGGTACAAAAATGTATCATTCACATCATTGTGTGTAACTAGCCAGTTTAGTTGTATTAAATTTTTTGTATTATTTAGATATATTATTATAATGTAACAATATTATGTTATATTATATTAGATAAGTAACTTACATTACTAATTTAATGTTAAAATAAATAAATAATAATAATAATAATAAAAGTGATTTAATTCACAAAGGAATTCCATCAATTCAGACAATGTGTGACGCTTTAATGTGCGTTTCAAAAAAAGAAATGTTAAACAAATTATTGTTAAATAATATACAATAATCAGTAGTAAATACAATTATTATACAATTTGTTATTAAATAATATACAATAATCAATAGTAAATACAATAAATACAATAACACAATAACACAACAATACAATAATACAATAATATACAATAATAACTTAATAAACATTAAATATTCCGCAATCTGCCGTAACAGGAACCAGAGAACAAGCATTCGTGTACGCAATGTCAGCGGCAGCTGCAGTTTGGAGGTTGGCGAGAGGATGCGCTCTGGGTAGTCTCGCGGCGTGTTCCTGCGCCACTCCGCCACGTAGAGAGCCACTGTCACCGTCTGCCTTGATTTCACCTTCATCCTTCACCGCGACACCGGTCTCCTTCGGCACACTTTCCGCGAGAAATTCGTTCAAATGGGGTGGCTGCGGTGATGACGTTCGATCCGCGTCCAGAATGGCCAAGAGGTTCCTCCAAGGTGCAACACCACCTGGCACCGGTGCAACCGCCAAGTTCATGCACGCTGTTAACATGCACAACAATCGAGCGGGTCGAAGGGTAATTGAAATAATCGTATAGATAATATAAATATAAAACGATGAATGGCGGTGCACAAACTTGTGTATAAAATGAAAACCTACCATTTACTTTAAAAACTACAAATTTCAGTAAGAAGTAGTAAAAATGTCATTTGGTGGTTGTCGTATGTTTCTTCCTTTATATTACCAACAGAACTGCTGTGTATTTTATTGAAAAAAGTTTGAAATTGTTAATTTTATATTGTATATTTCTACAAATTTAACACTACAGTTCTACCATGTCCTAGAGTACTTAATGTACTATACTACTTGATATAACTCTTTCAATTACAAATACACGTTTTACTAATTCTTGCAAATAGTATATTTTTCATTCATTTAATCTTATTCGTTAAAAAAAAAAAAAAAATAGTGAGCCAATTCATACTTCTTTATATATATATTATATATAATTATTACAAGATTTTTGTAGATATATCATATATATATATATATATATGATAAATATCTAAATTTAATATTATTACAAGATTTATATATATATTTTTTAATACATTAATTATATAATTTATTTAACCAAAGTGTATATATGTATATATATATATATATATATATATAATATGAATTTAACATTATTACAAGATCTTTATGTATATATATATTGTAAATATATAAAATATGAATTTAACATTATTACAAGAGCTTTATGTATGTGTATATATATATATATATATATATATATATATATTATATATATGTATATATATATATATATATATATATATATATATATATATATATATATATATATATATATATATATATTGTAAATATATAAATATTATGTATGTATGTGTATATATATATGGTAAATATATAAAATATGAATTTAACATTATTGCAAAATTTTTATATATGTATATGTATATGTATATATATATTTAACCATTGCAAGGTATATACTTTATATATATACTATATTTATACTATATTTATTATATATATATATAAAGTATATACCTTGCATGAATTTAATCATTACAAGATCATTATATATATATTTGACCATTACAAGGCAGTGGAACAATCCTTGACCCTGGAATGCAAATGCCACGGAGTTTCCGGATCGTGCAGCGTACGTACCTGTTGGAGAGGTCTTGGCTCTTCGGGGCCAGCAGCCGCAGGAAGTCGATTGCTCCGAAGATACGCAACTGCGGCGGAAGTTCGTCCGAGGTCAGGCGGCAGGTTACCACCCTTGTATCATCACGACAATCTTCTGTACACCACGAAAAGCCCGGACTACTGTCTTCCTGACAAAAAGAGAGGGAGCTTGGGGACTGTTGGCAGGTAAATCATACTCTCTTCTCCTTTATTTGTTTAGTATAATATCGTAGGACTGGTTTTGTGCAATAACGATTTACCAGCGATTGTTTCGACGGATGATGATTGTTGTTACTTTACGCCTTCCAGGTGTGGAAATATTTTTGTAGAAATAGTACCGTTAGATGAGACAATACAAACGAATATTAATATTCTAACATTAAAGGATAGGTATAGAGTTTTATTATTATTGTTCACAAATATTATTCGAACGATCTCAAATAAACGTTCATCCGAAATAATTGTTCGAATATGTACAGGATGAACTACGTAACTTGATCACTTTATATATTTTAGTTATTTTTGCAGATATGAAGAAATTGACAAAAATTGTTTAGCACAGGCAGTAATGACTAACTTTTTTTGTAGGTAAAGAGATTCAAAATGTAAATTATTTCAAAATTACAACCACTTTTTTATAGAATGATGTATTTATACAACAGAATGATGTATTTTTTGCTTCATTCAACTCGAGTTTGAAGATAAATTTTAAATGATTTCGAGATCAATTTTCACTCTGATAACAAGTCCTCTTGGTAAATATGGATTCACTTCCACTAAAACACCATTTTTTATTCACAAACGTCTCAGGTCTTCCTCATTTCGTAAAGAAAAATCTCCAGAATGAAATTTCTTAAACTAACTTTTTCTCTCCTTCACAAATTTAAATAAAATTATAGGAAAAACAGAATATTCATACTTGTGAAACACTCAAAATAAATGCTGGAAATAAACGACTTTGAAAAGACTTTATTTGGCGAAATATTGCCCTGATGATACACAATAAAATTTTAAAGAAGATTATGTCATAAACAAAAAATAACGTGACGAATATTTTCCGGGAGACGAATATTTTCCATAATAAAGATCCGATATATATGGGCGTTTTAGGAATGAATAGATAATAAAATACACTATTTTTTTATTTACACTAATTATCCATAAATATTTATACATGTCCAAATATATAAAATATATTTTAAATATGACTCTATCTAATTTTAGACTGAGACATCCATATATAGTATTAATTACCTATGAATATATATCTTAAATAGAAGTGAAAATATATATTTAATAATTGAGACAAACCTACGTTTTACTTTTTCAATTGTATTTACAAAATTTGCGTAAATATTTGTAATCTGTTGATTAGAATGCACTTCTCTTGTTCACAAGGACAATTTATTGTGAAAGATCAAACCAATTCTCCTGTTTTTTTTTTTTTTTAACTCGAACTCACAAAACTTGTTCATAAAAATTGAAATGATCTTCAAATAAAGATTTAAAAAGAAAACAGTTTCTTATAAATCGAAAAATTGAGTTTTTCAAATTTTCCTCTGTTCTATTCAAAATCTCGATAACACAGATAGCACAAAGTCTTTTTAACTGCAAGTCGAAAAGCTTTTTCTCTTCCCTTGAGTTTATCGAGATTGTGTAAGTGAGTCACACAGGAAGTGATTCCGATTCGAAATGATTTCGTATTTTGATACAAGATCACCACCACCTTGCCATTGATTTTCTTATCCTTTCAGAGCAGTCAAGTGTTATCTCGTTACATTCGTCAGATACTTTATTCAGTTCGTTAGTAAGGTACATGTAGAACAAGTACCTCTCAGATAGTCGAATGGAATTAATTATTGTAATTCAATTTGTCAGGTGACTTTATCAAGGATCAAAATCAGAACACAAGTATAGTTACACGTGTAATGATACTTTTTAATTCTAAAATAGATCCTTGTAAAATATTGCATCCTTCACATATATGTACATACATACAATATAAAGTGTTCCAAATTTTTTTCACCATATAAGTACTTCATTAATTATTCTAATTCTATAGGAATTAGAATTCTAAAATACCTTATTAAGAAATTCTAATAAAAGTATATAATTTTGTCATACTATATCATTATTATATATATATAACATTCATGATATTATTATTATACATATAATATAATAACATGAAAATAGATTGATCTTTCTATTAATAAAGTCAGTTCATACTTTTACACTTTGGACGTGTATCGCAAATGATTTATTCACAGTAGTAAAAATTCTTTTCATTTGCGTTTCATCCAAAGTGCACATCTAAAATAGCTCACAATCAGTGAAGAAAAAAAGAACTAATTTCTATATTTCATGAATTTTATGAATGATTCATGAGACAAATGTAAAGTTGTTTAGAAATGAACGATCTTAAAACTGGATGACATTTATGATTTTAAAATGAAAGATTGCTTTTTACAAGTGGAAAACGAAAAATTCATTATAAAAAATAAAAATTATCCATATAAGTCATGTTGTTCCTATTAAAAAAGGATACATTGTCGATGAAAAATTCAATGTTACTACATTGCATAAGTATACTATATTATAATACTATATACTATATTATAGTTATATAATTATATATTATATATTACAATTATATAATTATTATATAATAGTCATCAATATTTATATCATTCATATCAATATCGTTCTCATTTATCTTTTAACTCTATCAACAATGCTTGTGACCATTAAGAGGAGGGAAGTGAGAAATGTTTGAGAGAAGCTTTACATTGATAAATGACGTTAAACAAACAATAACAAGCATAAATTACAATTAGACCGTTTAATTTTACTTATTAAACTTACTTATTGAATTTATTAAAAATCACACAATCAATGATTACAATTCAATTCTAAAAAAAATTCTAAATTCTACACTTACAATCAGACCCTTTAATTTTACTTATTAAACTTATTAAACCTACTTATCGAATTTATTAAAATTCACACAATCAATGATTATAATGGATTTTAACAATTAATACAACTGACTGTTAAATCACTATTAACATCCTTTAATTTTACTAAATACTTACGAGAGACGTTAAAAATCACAAACGATTCGATAAATAAGCTCTACTACTCAAAATGGTGAAACGTGTGAAACATGAAGCAATAACAGACAATACAGGGTGTCCATAAAATCTCTTCACAATTTCAAAAATTTATTACAAAGGCAAATGAAAAAACAGATAAGTGAAAATTATTATAAAATGAGACGTATATATTTAAGTTTTTTTTTCCTCATTTAATAGTAACACTTCGTTGCACGAAGCACATCAAGAAGTTACTCGATTTCTTAGACGATCGATGTTTTCCTCAGATGTTCTTGATCGTCCCTTCCCTTATCGAACACTGTCTGTCTCTATCTCCATAAATTTCTTGTGCCATGCACGAATTGATGGACGTGACGGTGGATCTCTTCCATACTTAGTTCTGAAGTTTCGTTGACAATGAATCTGCAGATCCGATTTGGTTTCAATAAACCGTGATACACACTGTGCCTTCTCTTGAGGAGTAGCCATTTTGTAAGGGGTTCATTTAACAGTATTTTATTCATCAACAGGGTATCTGAAATGCAATGTGATAAAAACCTCGATAACCACCGAGTACATAGAACAAATCTGACGAAGATATTTCATCAATCGCCTTTGTAATAAATTTTTGAAATTGTAAAGAGACTTTATGGACACCCACATGGGGTTATGAGACATCACTAATCTAAAGCAGAGGATCACTGATGCAACTGCCACCATTGATGAGGATATGCTACAGCGAACATGGCAAGAAATTAAATGAGGCAAAAAAGAACTTAAATATATACGTCTCATTTTGTTATAATCTCCACTTATCTGTCTTTTCATTTGCCTTTGTAATAAATTTTTTCAAATTGTAAATAGACTTTATGGACACCCTGTAGAACAAGTCTGAGTAGGTGAAGAAAAAAATTCTACGCCATAAAATCGTTCGAATATCGTAAAACGAAAGGATTTATTCGGTTTCTAGAACAGGTTTCCCGATCGGTCGGAAAAATTAGGTCCCGCCCTATCTCGAAGGTCTTCTCTCATAGGTAATTACCAGCACCGTCGTATAAATAAGCGAGTATCTGGCCGTGCCGAAGATAACCAAGATTCAGCGTAGGAATTCGTTGTGTGTGGCTGTTGTACACAAAAGCGAACAAGCCCAGGAAATCGAGGCCGACGTACACGCAGGATAGAAGTATTTTATTAACTGGGAGATAACGATTAGTTGACTAGCTCGACTGACAGAAATAAATGCTGCGATCGCCACGAGAAATGCGACGATCGTAAACCGTTCTGAAATATCGTTCGCGTGATATCTGCATTATGCATCGGATAGAGACGTTCGTCGGATATTTTCCTTCACGTTGCGCTCGACTTTTGTTTGTCTTATATCGCGAGATGAAAATATCGAGGCGATCTCGTTTCGCGATCTTCGTTGGAAAACACAGTGTTTCAGGACGTAGAAAGTTTAATGAAAGCTCGATGAAAGTTCGATGAATTGATTTTAAATGATTTCTTGTAACTTCGAGAAGATTGTACAATTATTTACAATTTATATTTACTGTCGTGTGTAAGTGTTTGGACAGTTCGAGATTATTGCAAAATATATGCGAATCTTTTGAACCTTAATTGTAACATGTGTGATTAATGTATATAAGTTAATGGTATAAATAATAATATTGAAATAAATAGTTACAACTTGGTATAAGTAAGGAAGCAATAAAAGATGATTGAAGATCAACATCTTTCATTCGAGTTAATTCATTAAAATCCTAAGGGAAGATAAAGTTTATAGGATAGAATTAGAAACTACGTATTTAAGAAAATAAATGATTAAATAATTTAGAGAAAAAATCATTTGCTTGTTCAGGTAGCATCGTGTCAAATAAGATATGTTATTTAAATAATTATGATGTGTTATTAAATAATTATATATCAATAAGACATGCTATTTAAATAATTATTTTTTAAATATTTTATTCGAATAATATCCATGTCTTGTAAAGATTAGAATTTTACACAGACATCTTAGTCAAGCGTCTCTAACTACATTTCAATATTGAAATATTAAAAGAATTGAAATCAGTATTTGAAGTAGCGTTCAAGAAGTCGAAATTTGATAAAATATTTGATAAATCTGTTAAATCTGATAAATTAAATAGAATTGATGAATTTATTCTAACTATTCTTCTTATTTATTATTTATTATCCATTCATTAGAAATAAATATCAAAGTTGAATTATACAGGTATATTTCTTGTGTCAAATTAAATTCTGACATCACAGATGTAGCCTGATGTTCAAAATTAACAACGGAAGAATGTTAATAATTAATTAATTAATTGTCGATTGTAATTATGAGAAAGGAACTATAAAATAACAATCTTCAAATGGACTACCTTGCACTAGGTATCAAAAAGAATCTTCTACAAGAAGAATTTTTACATCTCATGCATGTTTAACGAAGCAGTAAAAAACACAACAGTCTAAACATTTACTTGTATTCTGGAGATTTACTTTGGTGAACAATTATTGCACGAGCTGGAGCAAAACGAAGGAAGAAAGATACATACATATTTCTTTTGCGTCGGTGATTGCATTCGCCACGGTTTTTCCGGCGGTAGGAGCGTCTTTGTCGCACTGAATTATTCACGGCCCGATGTTCGTGAATTAAGATCACCCACGGCATTCCCGGAACGGTGACTGGTTTCTAGAAAGAAAACAGTAGAAACAGCGGCGTGGTGATTCCTTCTGGATCTGATCTGGCTTTGTTTCCTTTAATCCATCTTGTAAATCGCGCTTTAAATCGGCATTTGGAGTTGGACCAAGATTTAACTTTTAAGTACCAAATGAAGATTGAAAGTTACAGTGACTGACACTATTTCTGGTCGATTATATTTGGTCGTTTATTGAAGACATGAATGAATGTGCAACAATAAGGAAGAACGATAGAGAGACATTCTTAAGGGTGGTGTAGAAAGTAAATTTTATAACAATTTGTTAATATAATTAGTTAGATATTTGCAAATTCAAGTGAAGTGAAATATTGAATAAAAATAGAATAATACATTATATATAATATGTAATATAATATAATTATATTAATATTGTTATAATATTATATAGTATATTAGAATATACAATATATATATATATATATGTATAATTTTAACAATAATAACAATTAATTAAATAGATATAACATATAATTTTGAGAAACTTATAACGGAAATTAATTTATTTTTTGCTCATTTTTTTTAACAGTAAAACGTCTGAATAAAATTGTCCCCTAAAGTTTTCTAAATTTAAGTTAATTCGTTGAAATGAAATAAGAAATAATCCTAACAGAGGGTGAAATTTATACACAATAGAACTAGAAACTATTTAAGAAATTATTTATAGAAACTGACACAAAATATAATAATAAGAAATAATAATGAGATGAGAAATTATTTTTATTTCATAGCCAATTGACTAAATAATTTAGAGAAAAATCATTTGCTTGTCCAAATGAACAAACAAAGAATTATTAAGATCAAGTCAAATAACATAATGTGTTATTTAAATATCTTATTAATTATTTAAATATTCAATATTATGTTATTTAAATATATGATATGTATTTAAATAATATAACATATTTAATAACATTTATATATATGATATAAAATATTTAATAATACATATTTATTAAACATATATATAATAACATTTATATATGTGATATGATATAAAATGATATATTACATTCAATATCATATTATTTAAATATATATATATATTTAATAGTTAATATTTAAATAATAGCCACGCCTGTTTTACAAGTAAAGTAGATATCGTCGAAAATAAGAAAATATCGAAACACTTTCGGACGACAGAGTGTATTTAACTCCGCCACGGAAATCACGTTAATTTCTTGTCAATCCCACGCACGTACAATTCTGAAAAAAAAAAAAATCTAATGAAACGAAATGAGCTGGCGAGCAATTCATAAGCTAATCGGATGCTGGTTTTGGACATGTTAATATTTCATTTCCCTCGGTTAATATATGTATAGTGCCAGGTTTCTTTGGGCACCACTGACTGGGTTACAACCGGTAATTATAAACCTCCGTATAATTATGCATAGTGGGCGTGGTGAATGTTTATTACGGGACGCCTTCGACCATTTCACTATGTGCTTTTCGAAATCGTTTTTTTCTTGACGCTACAATTGTGCAAAACGTGGGCTGACTCAACACGCGACGCGACTCTTCGAACTTCTTTCTTTTTGCAGATATGTTGATCGTTGTGTAATTGTATTTGTTTTGTGAGAACAATCGACAATCGACAATCGAGGGATGAATCAATAATATTGAGACGTTAACAGTATCGTTTAAAATTCACGAAAGGTTTGGTTATATGTACAGTAACTAGTATTAATATTCCAATATCTAAATATTGAAACTTGTACAGAATTATATTTTTGAAAATTATATTATAAAATTAAAATTGAAACTTTTACGAAATTATAATTTTTATAATTCTGTAAAAACTGAATTGTAATAAAATCGGACTTATTTTATTAATGATATTCAATGAGGATACCTTTCTTCTCGAAAATGTTAATAAATGATATGTAAAAGCACTGAAAGCATTTTGTTCGCCACCGAATCTGCAATAGATTTGAAAATTGAAGTCTCCTCTTTGCAACTATCCTCGAAAACTTGATCTATAATATTTTTTCACTATTCTATTGAATTTTGAATATTAATAAATATAATTAATTCATACAATATAATAATAATGCGATATTTGAATTAACTTAATTGCAAAGATCAATATGAAAAAAAAATTGTTCAACAAAGTGTAAAAACACATTTACTTCACATTTATATATATTAAACATCTTCCGTTACGGCATATTATAATTAAAGAGATTCTTAACCTCTCGTGGAGTGACGTGTCGAGAACTTTTTGTCCCAGAATTGTAATATTTTCTCAGTTTTAAGTACATTCAAGTATAACCCAGGCAAAACAAATGATAAATTTATTACTTCTCAATAATTTCTATCCAATGATATCACACCGATGAGTTCAAAAAGACAACGACGAATTACATATCGTATACGGTTTGGGCCACTCGTTACGGTCCGCACTCGGTTGCCAGCGCAACCGGTTAGTCAAATCAATCTTTAATAATAAATTGTTGCCAATATTTCTATATAAATGAAACTTTATTTTATTATACTTGTTAGTCCTCGTCTGAGTAAAATTTTGCTCAAACATTGTTTCAGACAGTGTAACGGCAGCAGTACCGGATACGAAGGTTGCGAGTACCTGTGCTGCGGTCGAGGACACGTGACGAAAACGGAAGAGGTGTTGGAAAGATGCGACTGCAAGTACATCAGCTGCTGTTACGTGAAGTGCAAAACGTGCAGAAGAATCATGAAAACCTACGAGTGCAAATGAATGCGCGGATTCGTAGAGATCGTTTGAATCAAAACCCAATCCTGATCAAGCTCGAGTGACAACCGATTCGTCTCAAACGATCCGGTGTTTTTACGGTCAACTCTATAAACGATAATCTTAACTATTACGTTTGTTAAAACTTATTTACGTGACGCGGATCGAAATAATCGTCGTGATCGTTTGAAGAAAATGATTGGAAGATCTCGCGACCGAAATCTGTATTTGTAGTTATTTTTAGAGATCGTTGTAATTATATGGGAAAGAATGTGGAAAATATTCAGGCAGATAATTATTATTCGATCGCTTGACCCTGCTCTTCGTTTCTCCTCTCTGTACTTCAATGAATATTATCAGAATATACATAGTTTCTGAACCAGAACTATATCTGACCCGATATCGTTTCGCAAACTTTTTGTATGTTCCGCGGAATTTTAGAAATAAAGCATCGCAAGGGAGAGAAATTGAACGTGATGGAAGAGAGGACAGCAGAGTTAAACGAATTATCAATGACGAGAATGCTAGGAAATTAGAAAATATTTGGTACAGTGGATCGAAAAAGTATTGGCATACTCTTCCTCTTTTAAAAATGGCAATATTCTAATAACAGTTTTTCACTTCCACAACCAAACCTAACCTAAACCTAATCAATTACTGAATCGCAAAACAAAACTTTTTGAATTTCACGAGTTCATTTGTTTTCTTTTTTTTCCTGGTGCATTCGCATTTTTGGATTTTGAATGTATATATTGATAAATAATAATTGGAAACAATGACAAAACGCAAATGGATCCTATTTTGAAAACTGTTCGTTTCCATGAAAAGTGATCTTGATTTTCAACTTCAACCATTCAAAATATCTGTCGATTCAAAATTACAAATTTGGATTACAAATTTTGCGTTTCAGTGCTACTATACTATGGTAGTACATTCCTTTTCTGATCCACCTGTATTGAGGAGAAACTCGATGAAACTCTTATTTATCTCGTCTGCTATTTATTAAAATTTATGTCTTCGGTACGCTGCGAGTATAGCACAGTGTTGTCATGAACGATAAGAACACTCGTGAAAAAGTGATTAAATATTAAACGTTTGATTCATATTGGTAGAAATTCTGGAAAATGGACAACACCGTTAGCGGCATGTTAGACATAGACGTGGTTAGTGGCAATGTAAATAATTCGCTGAATTCGACGTAGTTTGTATTAAAAATTATATTCTACAATAAATATTACTTGACACAGAGGAGCACACTTTTATTCAAAAGTTATTCTGAAACTCTTGAAAATTGTGATGGATTCGCGTATATTTGGTGAGTATAAAATATTATATATATATACTCTTTATAAAAAATTAATGAAAGTATCATATCACCACAGTTATGATTATTCGAATGAATTTGAAAATCGACAGACGAATAGTAATAATAAATTTAATTCACTTGAATAATTATATATATAAAAGAAAAAATGATTATTATTATTTGCAGTTGGTCACTTGAATTTAAAATATTGAAACATTTATTATAAGTAATTCAGCAATTCTGTATTTATACAAAATAAAACTTTCAAAATGTATCATTTAAGCAGAATTTTAAAAACTAAGAATAAAAAATAACAAAAATAATGTTTGTCTGATATATCTGATATATATGTATCAATCGTGATATATCTGATATATTGTTATCAATGATGAATTTTTAATTAGTTATGAGACACTTAAAAATCCAACGCGTACAATGTCCAAAAATATATAAAATATCAAAATACACGACTTATTGCAATATTTAGTAATTGCAACAAATTTCTACTCGAGTTCAATTTTTTTAATAATACATATAAAAGTATGAATTGGCATAAAAATTTGCATTCCGTTTATCACAAATGATTGCGACTATGCTCTAATAATAGCAAAGAACTCTTATTAATTTTCTTAATTTTGTGATTTTGCTGATGTTTTGTTAAATTTTATAATTTTTGTTAATTTTTGTAAACTGTATCGTTCGAATAACTATACGCACTATACACTGTATATATTATATAATATAATGAATGTATTATATTATGTTATATAGTCATAATAAAATAATAAAATATATGTTATATGCGAAAGATGGTGCAATTTTTAAATATGTGGGGTCGTCGATTATAATTAAAATTCTATAAAAGTTCTAAGAATATTCAATAGCTTGTTTTACGGCCTGCTTTTCTGGCAACTTCAATTTTTGATCTGAATCCATTTCTTCGTCGACGATACCTAAATCTTTTATGAAATCACACCAAATTATACCAGCCCCGCAGTCCGGATCTTTTTCTGATGCCCACCAAAGTGCCGTCTAAAACAGATCACAGTTAATTTATAGCAGTAAAAGAGCAAAAAAGTTCCATTATTTTTCATGATGAAAAAGGAGGACGTATAAATAAAGAAATAGAGAAATATGAGAAATTTGCAACGAGTGAAACATTACGTACAAAGTAATATGATAATACATCACACATAAAATAACTAAAATATTATAATAAAATAACTAAAAATATTAAATTATATTAGATTTATAGAAAATAATTTACTCACGTTATTTTAGAAACAATATTGGGAAAATGTAATACTGAAATGTTCAGAAAATAACATGCAGGCACATAAAATGATAATAATAAAAATCACCTTGATGTTTATCGGCGGCGCGAAAGGGAGAGGATCTACTTTCATGTTCATAAATCTCAGCATGTCGTTATAATCCAATTTTTCCTCTTCGTTCTTATGAACACTATATCATTATTGGTAAGTAATATTATAAATTATCAGTATTTCAAATTGTTGCTTAATAAATTAAATTACTTAACTAAAATGCTTAATGAATTAAGAATTTTTCTGCTTTCTCTTCAGCATAGGAAAAGAGAATAATTGGTATAATTGACTTTGATAAATGTTTCATATATTATGATTTAGTAATATATAAATTGTCATTAATATGTATACGTACTGATCAAGCATGGAATTTAAAAGTTCCACGTCAACTGGAATTCTAGCAGCACGAAGCATAGTGTACAGTGTATTGCGTGGTAAAAATCCTGTTCTTCCTCTGTCGTAATGATGTAGATCCTCCTCTAAACGTTCGAGGTCGTTCCACAAACTTCGCAATAGTTCCGTATGCATTAATTGCCTAGAAAACGAATAAATATTATTTCTTGATAAATTTCACGATGTCCTTTTCATCTAAATTTATTGGTAAATAAATATTATCTTCATAATGTTTCAATGAATTTTACAATATTCTTTTTACCGAAAAATTATTGCTCACCTTACATATTCTCGAGTGTGAAATTCTTTTTTCTCGTGAGACGAATAATGTCGAGCGACTGTGATTATTTCGTGATCCGTTATTTTATCTTCCATGTACTTGAACAAGATTTCCCTGAATTTTCAAGAAATTAATGTACCAAAGCTCTTTTAACATGAATGAAATTAAAGTATTATATATCGATAATTATATATCTGCAATGTTTATCTATTAGAACAGAGTTTTTGAAATAACATTATTTTTCAATAGAGTCCTCTTCATATAATTTCGACAAAAAAAATATAATATTTTCTGCTAAAAAGGAAACCACGACTATTATTATATTTTTTTCACTATTAAATATTATCTAATAACTGTATCATTTATACTTTATACAACTGAAATAGTAAGTGGATGTCTAAGATCTAATAAAAAATAAAAATCTCAGTAATTATTAATTTTATATGTCCTAATACTTTTTTTATTCGAAATTTACTGTTTTGTTCGAATGCAAAGAGAAATATTAAACGTTCCTCTTAAAAAAGTGAAAGTGATCGTTACATCTCGACGAAAAAAACAATGTATGCTTCCTTAGAAATCATTAACCAAAAATTTGTTACAAAGCGAAGTTAATTATTAATCTTAATTTTGTAAAATTGAAATTTTATTGTGAAAGTTGAGCTCCAAAAAAGTTAAGAAATTCATCAATCTTTGACTATGTTACCACGTAGACTAGAATGACCAAAAAAATTTTAAGTACGCGAAAAAAAAAGAAAAGATTTCCATCGGAGAAAATATTTTCACAAACGCTTCTGCAAAAAGATACTGATTCTGAATATATAGAGAATATAATCATTCTCTTCCCTCTAACATTTCTCTTCTAATTTCAATCAGCAAAGAACTATCAGCTTGTCGTGTATAATTGAATGGAAATACCTGAGCTTTTCATACGGCAGAACTTGAAGATCGTCGCCAATTGATTTCGCCGGCGTGCAGAGTTGCACGAATTCCTTGTAAACCGGTTTCAATGCTCGCCGCAGTTTTTCCACGATTGACTTCACGTTAGCTTTGACAAACTGAAAGAAAAAAAAAAGAAAACAAAAATCGAAATTACAAATGAAACGTTTCATACAGCCAGCGGCTTATCGACGTCGAATTCGCAGGGGAACGCTAATCGACCGTTTTAAAACGTGAAAATAGCGTGGAAGAGTGAAGAAACGTGTGTAAATTCGTCGAACCTTATCGCAATGTAACTCCATGTAACGAAGAGCATAAACGTCGGCGGAGGTAATTTCGAAGATAAAACCGTTCAAGTTGAGACGTGCACCGATATAGAAATCCTCCGGTTTGTAATAGTCTGGTTTCTTGCTTGCAAATATCTCTTGATTAGGCAACATCATCGGCATCCTCTTCTGGAAAAGGCATCGTACGAAACCTGTAAATAACGCGAAAATATGGATACAATAAATGAGGAAACGATCTTGAGGCTTTGAATGTAGGTAACGAATGCTAATAATTAGATTATGGTTGTTAATAATTAGATGTTTGTGGATCGTATATGTGCGATACTAGTGGATCGTGTTATTAAAATAAACTTTGTGTCTGCAATTTGGAAAATTCGAGTTGTGGTTCTAGATAGCTTGAATTTGGAGGGGGGAGTTGTGGTTCTAGATAGCTTGAGAAATTGAGCTGTAAAAACTGAAATCCTTGAACTTTTAAATTCAGTCTAAATTATATAAATAGTATTCGCCATATAATAGTGACTGCCATTAATATTTGGACATAATATAACTAATATATATATTATAATATATATAATAAAATTATAATATAATAATAATATATTATAATATATATAATAAAATATTGAGATTGTTATAATTTTTATATTATATTATATAAAATAAAATTATATAATAAAATATTGAGATTGTTATAATTTTTATATTATATTATATTTTATATTTTTAAATTATGTTATAATTTTATATTATATTATATAAAATTATATAATAGAATATTGAAATTGTTATAATTTTGTAAAAAGACAATAATAAGCGTACGGTCATTTTAAAAACTTAAAGTCTCTACTTTCAAAACCTACTGTTCATTTCATTATAAAATATTTTTACATTACGTAGCGAATAGGCAAATGAAGATACTTTTCTTCTCGAAAATTGTCGTATGAAAAAATATTGAAAAATTCTTTTCATGACCGAATTTGCAATGAATCCGAAGATTGTAATATCCCTTTCACAGACCTTTCAAGATTTGCTGTACGATTTTTTGTACTTTGAATCAATTTATTGAATTTTGAATGAGAAACATACTACGACAATTTATAGCATTTTGGAGAAGAAAAGTATCTTCATCTAGCGTACATCTAGCTACATAGTAGAAATTTAAATTAAAATGAACAATGCATTTTGAAAATAGACATTTCGAACTTTAAAATAAATCCAAGTTTGTTATTGCACGATTTCTTTTTACAGAATTATTAAGTTTCAATTATTAAATACAGAATTATACAGTTTCACTATTTAATTTAAATATTAACGAGAGTCATTATACGTGACATCTTCTCAATAAAATGAACGATAAGCATAATGTATTCGTAGCTTTGAAACAAGAATAAAATTTATTTTCGAAGTTTCGATCGAATCGTAGCACAGACATTTTTTTCTCGAATAATTTTTAAAAAATAGCAACCATAATGAAGTACTATTATCTGATAAAGGTGATTACCCGAATTTCTTTTGGCCAGTTCGAAAATGGAGATTGTATCGTCCATGAGAAAAACTCTTATAATGAACTGTCTATCTTGATTTTCCTGTATATGCGATATCATTTTTGCTCTGAATCTCAACACGTGACTGTCAAAACCTTGCCTAAAAAAAAGAAGAAGAGGAAAGTGAGGAAATAATATATACAGACAGATATTCTGTTTAATATTCGCGTCCATTAAAATACACGTACTTATCATATTGCAAAAATTTCATCATATCTGTTTTAGGTGGTTGTGGGATCATGCTGAAACAATTTCCTAGAGAATCTTCGTACGATCCAAAACCATTGTACGGTGGAATGTATCTTTCTATTTTCTCGCAAGTCTCATCGTTTCTCCGAGGTCTTTCCATTGGTATAAAATTGTTCAAACCGTATTTCTTCCTTTGATGAGGAAAAAAAGGACACACATTATTTCTTTTCATGTAAGAAATAACTTAACATCAATTGTACAAAAGTGGTAAGATGATTTGAAATAAGTGTATAATAAGAATTACATTTTATTATATCTATATTATTGTATATTATAATTGTAATACTGCATAATTATGATTATTAATTTTTCGTTATAATTATTGTTATCAATTTTTCGTTAAATGTTATACTTGTAATGTATAATTATTACTGTTGAAAGTTAATAATAATATTATTATTCATTTTTATCAATAATCATTGTTATAATTATTGTGAAATATTGAATTAATAATAATTGTTATCGATAATAATTATATATTTTAATTATAACTTTAATTATAACATAAAATATGTTATTAATTATTAATTTTAATTATTTTATTAATTTTTAATAACAATTATAATGTTGTATTATAATATTTGACAAATAATTACAGTTGTGATTATGTTTTATAAAGCTGGAAGAAAATAAGAAAAATATACAATTGCAAATATCTCATTTTATCAAATTATTGCCAGAATAATTTTCAATCAATCATAAATTTGTTAACTTAATGAAATAAACTAATTTTAAAGTATTTTAATATTTATTTGTTATTATAGTACTACCAATGTTTAATATTTCATTATTGAATGTACAAATTTTATACATTTCACCTGTAATATTCCTTTGTGAAAGCATCCATATCCGTTATGACAATTATTCTGCCAAAAATATTTAATTGTGCACCAATATTAAGCTCGTTTTCTTTGTAATATTCCGTACGAATTTTTCCAGTATTCAATGGATCTATCGAGTAGTAACCATGAGATGTATCCTCTCCCAAAACATTCAAAACAGTAAAAGGATTTCCTGCTCCAATTGGATCAATCTCACTGAAAATCTATATTCAAATGTCTGCCTATTAATTTCTTAAGTCATGAATTTCATAAGATTATGTAAATTTATTTATTATAATTACAAAACGAGCAATGAATAAAAGTAGATACATCGACACTAATTTCGTTCGATCAATTCAATGTTTTAATAGAGAAGCTTTAGGTGAACTTTGACATACGACAGTACGATTCATTTAGACTGCTTATAAGTAGACTGCTTATATTATATTTATATTCTATTCATATTAATTTTTATATTATATTATATTTATATTACAATATAAACTTATATTTATATCATATTCATATTAATTTTTATAATTGCAAGATTTATATAAATCTTACTCTCACGTATATAAATCATTTTCATATTAAAATTTTATTCTCTCTAATTTTGTCTCATGTTATGATTATTACAGTCATGTTCAAAAATTGTAGATGTTCGAAAAGGTGGTGCATTGAATATATAATCGTAATATAATATAATAATAGATAATATAATTCTACTTGTCAGGGACTTGAAAAACGAATATTATTTGGAATTCTCAAAGATATCAGAAATATATCTTATATACTAAAAAACATCGAAAATATATTATATATTACATATATTAAATATATTTATAATATATATAATAAATATAACAAATAAGAAATATATAATAAATACAATAAATAATAAATATATAATAAATACAATAAATAATAAATATATAATAAATATAAAATATATTACATATTAGAAATATTTGTATAATATGACATTTTACATGAAAAATCATCACAAGGGACGAACTATTATAGAATTAATACCTATAAAATTCTTACTTTTGGAACTTTCATACGTCGCAAGAACATAGGGCCAGAATCTCGTCCAGAATTCGGTGGTATGTTTTCTTTAATCTCCATCGTGTTGTCAGTCAGATAATAGTGAATTTCAAGATCATGCACGATACCATAAAGACTGTCTGTGTCATCCCAATAAGCGTAAAATCGTAGCACTTGTTTGTCATATTTTAAGAAATCGCCAAGAGTGTCGACTTTTTGTCTTGGTTTCTTTGGAAATGTTTCCTGTTAAAGTAATTGCAATAAAGAATAATTAAGTGTCCATTGTTGATTCAATTTTTATTCCAAATAATTACTTACTCTTTTGTAAAGTTCCGAATGGGGATCTTTTGGTATTTCTATCGGGTCTGGCACTGCGATTCCCATACGATTTAAAAACCGTCTTGTGAATTTGTCGCAGTCTACAATTTTATATACTCTCCCAAATATTTCCGGCTCTTTACCGATATTTAAATCGATTATGTCATAATACCTATACCTCACTGGATCAGGCATTGGAATTCTTTGACGTTTTAGTAGGACACCTACACATATTCCAACGTTCAGTAATAAAATAAAAAAATTATAAAATTTTAATAAAATAAAAAATTATAAAATTTTAATAAAATAAAAAATTATAAAAAGTTACACATACAATATGGAGGTAGTATTAATGTATGTATATTATATATGTGTACAATAGTACTAAAATCAACTGAAATTAAAAAGATTTTAAATGTAAAACTTTTATAACATTCGCCTATTTTTCTAAAATCGATTTTCTTGAAAATTCTTTTGTCAATCTGATTATAACAAAATGAAGTAATTTTGCTTTATGATATTAGTTTCTACTATATGAAATATCAGTCCAATTATATTAGAAAATCTAAATACGTGTATGTGTTTCATCCACTGAAAATATGTTAAAATAAAATCTAACGATAAATACAACAAAGGAATAATAAATAATATTTCTAAGAAAATATAATATCACGTAATTGAAATAATTAAAAATAACAAAAGTGTAATAATAAGTATTGAAGAAAACCACCGTTGAACCTTGCTCAAGACCACTATTGTCCACAGAGGGTTCAGAAATTTTCATTGTTCCATCCTCTAAGAAGAAGCTGATATTTACAACACGTACTTGATAAGCTATTTTCCATCTTTCGTGAACTGTTTCTTGGAAAAATGCTTTAAACATCAACCTCTAAAAAATGCATTCGAAATATCATTATTAAAACATTTCTTTTATATAAATACATTTACTTTATTAATATAATTCATATATGAATTCATATATGAATCACATATAAATCAACTTAAATTAATATATGACATAATTTATATTAAATTATATTTATTATTAATACAGTATATGATTTACATATTTTTGTATATAATAACATATATAATATAATATAATTAACATATTTAACGTATCATTTTGTTTTGTTTAATTAGTTTCTTAGTGCCTGCATTAATTATAAGTATTAATAATTTTCTATACGAATAATCATACTTGGCCATCATAGGCAATCCAAGGAGGTAGTTCTTGAACTTCTCCGCGAGCATAAATTGATGGATAACGAATAGGATCGCTTTCGTCATGTTTTTCTGACAAATAATAGACTCCATCGTGAATTTTTGCAAAATATTGATTCCTGGGAAAGTTTGTTCGACCAAGCTAAATAAAGTACGTATATACATTAAACGCTTCCTATATCCCATTTTAATATATCATATATCTTCTATTTATTATCAATTTATATATTAGTTCTTGGATATATGGGTTAATTAAGTCATAAAATATCACAATATCAAAACTACAAAAAAAAAAATGACTTACGTTTTTATCGAAAGTAAACCCTGGTAGGCATGGTAGCATAAGATCACGCTGCATTTTATCACAACAAAAGAATCGAATTAAATGCACTAAATACACTTGAATGATTAATAATAATAATGGTCACTTTACGACGAAACACTTTACGCACATAATTGATACTGATGTAAGAATGCGAGTTCATCACTATTTACTATTGTTGCGTTTCCTTGGAGATACCTAAATTAATTTCATCAGGAGAAACAAAGGACTTCGTAGTTGTTGCAGCTTCAATGTATATATTTTATTATTATCAACAATTTGCAATATTATACTGGTAATATTTTACACCAGTATACGCAAAAACATAAGTTTATATAATATATAGCAATATACAATATAGCAAAAACTCTGGTATAAATATAACACGCATATATTATATATTTGATTCAATAACTTATGCTAACGATGAATTTTGAACGATACTGCTTTGTTAGTAATCTATCACTTAGTAGTATGATGTGCGAATTGTAACGCTATTTAAGTGGTACTTTGTTGAATTATATAAATATAAAATTATTATAAATGTATATCAATAATAAATCACAAATGGTAAAGAAAACAATAATAAGTTAAATATAATAAAAGCAAAATGAAGCATTTAGTGATTGTAATTTAAAACATATTCAGAAGAATTATGAATAAACTTTTGCATAAAATATTAAGTCGTTTTTCATAACGAATGCCATATTATACACGTAGTATAATATTATGCGTAGAATTAGAATCGTGTGTATATTATAGAGATAACAACAATTAATTATTTTATTAATGGCACTTGCCATTGACAAAAATATTCTACAAAATAAAGGTAACATAACGTAACACGTGCTCACGCGCAGTAACTATGAAACTAAATATGTTTTACGACAATGGACGGTCCGCAAGTATAAATAGATAATAAACGTATTCAGTGATATTTTCTCAAAACTTTCATATGTTTAAACTCTTCTTTCTTAAAATTTTTTTTTTTACGTAGAATTTTGATTTAATCACATGATTGTAGACATCAGCGTTTCGAGAACTCGCATCGTGGAAATTCAACAGATTGTTTTCGAAAACATATAAACAACTGTCCAAATCCCCACTTGCTTTTCTTGAACTTCTAGTCTTTAGTCTCTGGTTGTAAATCATACCAGCTCGTGGATGATTTTGTAACATCAATTTCACTCAAATTTAAATAAACTTGACCCATGACGTTGCTTCCAGTCGATAACCAACCCTTTTGTGTACATACAGACACTTCCAATGTACGACTGTTTAAATCAGCTTGAGAAACAACATACTCAAATTGTTCATCGAATACTGGATTGCAATTATCCTTCATTACTGCTGTTTTACGTTTGGTTTCCTTATGACGGTCAGGTAGAAGATACAATTTTACGTATGGATCTGGTATGTTATGCGGATCATTTTGTGGCAGAGGTAAGTTACTGCAAAGTAGTATAAAATATAACAAAATCTGTTAAATTGAACGTCGTTGAATTAAATTTCATATTGTTAGATTACATACGCTATTTTGTGTATAACGATTATAAGCTTCTGTCTTTGTATGCTGTAACGTATAGACAACTGTATTCGACCTAGCTTAGCTTCACCCGCAGATAATGTCACATTTGGATTTCTATGAATCAACTGTTGATTTCCAGCAGTAACAGAAGATGGAGCAGTAGTAATAACAATTAATTCCTCTTCTGCTGTACCTGGTTCTTCAGGTACAATTACTGCAGCAGATCCAGTACTACGTGTTAAGCTATTAACTGACTCCTTTGAGGGTTGTCTTTTTAGTGGAGTAGACGGGACTAAAAGATATTACATTGAATAATTCTATAAATATATTATATTAATTAATTGCTGATAAACTTACGACTATTTGATACTGTGCTAATATTTGATTCTTGACGTTCGATTCTTTTATTCAATTGATTAATATCATGATCGTCATCATCTTCTTCTGAAATAGGCTCAGGGTTTTCATATTTTAAAATCTACGATTAAAATTAAATACATAAATATAATGTAACTTATTGCTTACAAATGTATTAGCATAAAAATTAAAAGGATTGTACGTTTAATGATATAGATAATATTAATTTGCTATCAACTTCGGCCATTTGCAAATCATAAGGTTGTTGTGTAATTTCAAGATTGTTCTGTTTTAAAAGTAAAGAGATATTGTAACTCATTTCTCCTATTATGACAGCAGTCTTTTCATCTGTGATCTAAAAATTAATATAAATAAAGTATAAAATTTTCACACAATGTACATAATTTTTATAAATTACAAATAACCTTTATATGTAAAACACCAGTTTCTGGGTTGCTCACTAAAAAAGTGAAACCTTGTTCCCATACTGGATCACAAGAACGTAATATAGTAGATGTTCTTTTTGTATTTCCACCAACACTTGCTTCAAGATATACATCAGGCTGTTTATTTCCTCGAACACACTGTAATCAAATAATTTTTATTTACTTTTCTTAATTAAAATCTATTAGTATAAATTAATGAATTATGCTTACTGGTAAATTTTTTGCTGAATCAATATAAAGTATAAGTAGAGCTGTACTCATTGATGTTATTCTAAGTTCTTGAGTTTCCACTAATGCCTGCATATATACACAAAATTAAATTGTAAGTAATAGATAAATTAATTCTGTTAAAAATACATACAGCTTGCAAATCAGAAACATTTTTTGATAGTTGAAGCCATGTTAATCGTAAATGAACCATGCCATGTTTTACGTGTTCTAATGAAATCCACTAGAAAATAATGTTTTTATTATTATTTAAAATTTATTACTGTATTAATTCTACTATTCCTTATACTCACTGTATCAATATTTCCCTTCTTTTTCACTCTACTAACTTCAATAGTAGCCCTACATTGTAAAAAATAAAAATAAATACATTTAGTACATTTTGTTTTGCTTGAAATATAAAAAAGCTACTATATTATTTATAATGGCGATTATACAATGATTTGTATATTGAAATCCATGATATACGATATTTAATTCATGCATATTATAAAGCAGTCATGCAATAACAACATATGTACATTATTGATTTTTGACATTTCCATTTCACAAATAAGCAACAAATCTTTGTATATTATATACATTCATAGTCATATAAGCAATATCTTATTCTATAAGAAAATGCTTTATAAAACCAATTATTAACATGGAATTAATAATGAAATGAAAAGAGTAATGTGGTGACAGAAATTGTCATTTTACTATAATTTTAAAAGGCACATATATTTTATATTATACTTATAATATAATTTTACCATGTCTTCTTAAACATCTTTTTCAGTAACATGCACCATAATAGTAGTACAACTTCATTTTTTTAAATACAGAACGTCCTTCTAAACTAATTGTATAAAAATTTTCAAATGCATTCTATGCCTGGAAAATTGTACTTGTTACAAATAACAATACCTGCCAAGTGGATCATCTTGACCAGCGTTGTCTTTGTCAAAAAGGTGGGCAACCACCGTGTTGTAATAGGCTCCCAAGCTCTTTTCCACTATAAACTGTCATCATATAATCTAGTTTAGTTCTTTATTTTATCAAATACAGTCACCTAATCACTCTCATAAAATTAAGTACAATTAAAAGCAAATTTTCAAAATTAAATTATTGCCAAATTAAAATTATTTATTTTAATTAGTATAACATCATTAATTAATACATATGTGATATTATAACTGATTATTGAAGAAAACTCAAAAAAATAATGTAGAATGATTTTTGATAATTATTACAATAAAAAAATATTTTAATTAATACAGATCATAAAATTATTACAGGATTAAAATACTTCATAAACATAAAACACCAAATATATATACATGGTATAATTAATACATTTTTATTCTAAAGAAACATCTAATGTTTTACATTGAGCATGAACAGACCACAATCTGTGTACCAATATAACTATAATATATAAATTATATTATTATAAATAAATTATAATATTGGTAAACCTATAGAAAAAAGTCTCAATATCGCTGATTTTTAGATATGTTATAAAAAAAAAAAAACGGAAAAGGATTAAAAAAAAAAGTTGTGAGAAAAAGAAAATTGTATTTCAATTGCATTTTTTATCTGATATAAGTAATTTCTTTTATACGATATTGACCTCATTTTGAGCAATGGCTCAATATTTAATTTCTCACTTCCAATCTTCATTTTTACTTGGTCTCTGAGATTTATGAAATGTTGAAATTATTGAATAAAACCTATAATTTTCGAAGTATTATACATACTGAGATAATGTTGCCAATGTTGGCCGAAAATTTTAATCGTAAACCAAATTAATGAAACCAAGAAAACCCATTTTTTTCGAAGAAGTATCAATATCTGTTTGGGTTAGATAAATCTTTGCCGGCAACACTATCATAAATTGAATACGCTCATCATTTTAGCTTATACTTTTTAACGAACAACGAGTTACAGCTAAAACGTTCTGGAAATTACTCGGGAGAATGATCTTGGTAACATATACAAAGATCAAGATCGGAAATAAATTTTCTAATAATTTTATTTTTTTATACCTATTTTTAAACATTTATATTCGACTTAATGCAATACAAGAAATACAAATTTATTTTTATTATATAATTTTTGAATTATACCCGGTCGTTATACGCCTCGAATAAAAAGCATGTTACTCAGAGTGTAACGCTTTACGCATATCCAAAAATTAATAAAATTATTGTTCAGGCTCTTTTTCTATATGTTTATTATAATATCATGTGCCACATAGAATGACTATGAATATAATTAAAATTAAAAATTTAATTTAAATAATAAATAATTAAGTTAAATTAAAATAAAGTAAAAAGTAATTAATAATAAAATAATTATTAAAATAAAAATTTAATTTTATTCAATTACTGAAAGATTATAAATTTATTATTTATTATAATAAGCACTAAATGGTTAGTGACACAGTAAACTAACACACATTCAGACACCACTCATAAACTAAAAATTACAAATGTTAAAACACAATAATGCAATACCAACATGCTTCAGATTTGCAAAAATTGTAATAATACTTCAATGTGTTACCAAAATATGCAATGGAAATATGTAAGTGATAATTAAATGTGAAGTGAATGATAAATTAGATGATAATTATCTTCAGTTATAATTAAACAAAAAGACATAATAAGTATGATTAAAATAAATTTGTATTAGCTTTTATAATATAGCTTACCTTGAGTACAAAATTTAGAAAATAAAAATATATATTATTCTATTTCCATACCTTCCAAGACTTTCATCCTCCTTAGTGTCATCATAGTCCCATAACAGCACAGTAATTTGTTGAGCGATGGCTGACGTCACGGTACACTAGTCGCACATGACACATCGCACATCACATACATACATACATACCAAAATATGAAATTAAATTAGACTGACATAGACTAAGATGCCTCTGATCTATCTATGAATTATTGTATATATAGTTTTAAACAAAACAATAAGTTATAAATGTAGAAATGTATTGTTTACTGACATATAAATAGCCTACTGATTTATTAAGAAAAAGCTGAAGTGTTAGATCAGTAACATCTCATGATATGTAAAACAAATAATAAGATAATAAATTATGATATGATGACAATGAATAGTAATATGAATAAAGAATAAAAATAATATGAATAAATTTTAGGATGTTCTGTGTAATGTTTTGTTTTCTTTAATAACAAACATATACTAAAACATATGCTTCTATCTTTCAAGTAAGTATTTCTTACCACATAAAAGGTGTTGTGCTTGAAATTTTAAAGGACTTAGGAAATATTATAGCAAAGCACATGCATTAAATATTATCAATATTTAATCCTTTGTAAAAAGAAATTACACATACCTCACACCAAAAATCCCATTTTGGATTCACAGTATTATCTATAGTCTTTGTTCTAAATTCTTGTGCTCCAATTTTTATAATGGCATATGGATCAGATTTACCTTTACCTAACATTCCTATATCCTTTTTCATAAGGTGCTTTGCTTCTACTACATGAATTCTTAAAACACCCTAAAAAAAAATTATATTTTACTAAATAATTGTGTACTAATAATTAGACTCATACATGAAGCATTATAAATGAAAAATTTACTTCAGGCTCTGGTATTTTTAATGATTCAACTGGAACTGCTTCAGTCAATGGTATAACAATTTTATTTGGCAATACGACAAAAGCTGCTATTTGTTCTACTATTGTTTTCCTTAAAATTTCACTATTTAGTGAAAAGTATTTAATTAGTTATGATTTTTAAAAAACTCAAATTTATTTATTGTCAAACTTTTCTTACTTAAAGCCAGGTAAATCAAGAACATCTGCAACTCCAACTAAATTAAAATTAATAGCTGGTGGATTTAAAAAAAATGCTTGCACACCACCAACTATAGGTATTGCAGGTAATAATGGTTTCATAACTATTCTCATCATTCCACGAATCTAAAAATTAATTGTACATATAAATTCATAAAACTATTAAACAATATATTGACAAAAGATATGTTTAAAAGTACTTACTTGAAAATCCTTAATACCACCTTTTATATTCCCAACCGCAAAAGTAATATCACAATCACCGGCATATCTACAAAATTAAATATTTAAAAGTAAGAAAATCATATAAATTATAGAGAATATAATAAAAGAAATGATATTTACACAAATAATTAATACATACATAATATCTGCATCTACAATGACTTCATTTCTTGAAGTATTTTTATCATATGCTTTGATACCATAAATTTTTAAAGGCTGCAATTAAATATAAAAATTAGCTACAACTGTTGGTATATAATGTTATAAAAATTTACTTACAATACGACCCAAGACCAGCCTTTCAAACTGAAATCCTTTTACTTTATATTCTCCCAATTTCTCTACTATAGCAGGTTCAATAGTTTGCTTGCAAAGTTCACGAGTAAATTGATTTATACTTGGCCAAACTTTATACAAAACCTTAGAATATAAAAAGAATTAACTATAATTTAAATATAAAATATAATGTTAATAATCAAAAGCATGAAGAAAGATATATTGAGATTTTTCATACTTTATTTAACCATTCAGCTCTGTCAAAGTCAGGGAAGTAAACCCAAGAAGGTAATTCATCCAATCGACTCATTATTAGTTCTTTTTCTTTAGCCATAACACTAGCTTGGGCAGTAATTGCTTTTAATTCGTTGTCTTTCCTGCGTTCTACTTTCCATGCTACCAAAGCAATTGGTGCAATTAACCATGCTATATTTAAGTTTAGATATCCCCAGCTCCAAATAACACCAGCAGTTGCCAATTTAGTCAAAAATGATATGAACAATGATCCTATGTTCATATACGGCCAAGTATTTGGCTTAGATATTTTATTGTCTTCACAGTTACCTTCCATTTGTAATAATGAAACTTCAATCTAATATGTGTAATTTATTATATTTTTATAAATATTTACATAACTTTAACTACTGTGTATATAAAAAGTCAATTTTTTCTTAGCTTTCAGCTAATTATTTTTGCTTATATTTTTCCTGTAAAAATAAAATATCATTTGTATAAATCTCATTCAAATTTATCAAATATATATATTTATGTGAATAATATTGCAATTTATCTAAATAATTTATAATATAAATTTAAATTTTGTAGTATAAAGACAATTTCAAGTTATTTTGTTTAGTTATCATGTTTAAGTATCAAAATATTTCATACATTGCAACATTTATCATATGAATTAATATTTATTAAGAAAAAAAAAAGAATAAAAATGTATATATAACAAAATACGTGTCATTAACTATGATTAGAACAAAATTATATATGCGTCCGAATTTAATCTTTATATTTTATCACTTTAATTTTGATTTAACATTTAGCAGAATGTGAAATAAATTGTAATTTACATTAAATTTCAATTGATTATCGTATCTAATACAGACTGTAGAAGATAAGTTGATAAAATTAATAAATTTAAATATATGAATATAAATATAATATATACTTATGTGAATTAAAAAACATTACAATTTTTCTGAAAATGTAATACAGTAGCATATCGCAGTGTTAAGTGCAACATCAATTGCGACTAATTTTTATTTAGCTGTATAAGCAAAGTGTTAGTTTTAACACTGTATTCTCGCAGCAAATGAGTCATCATTGGTAGCCAGAATGATTACAACACATATTAAACGTTTAAAATATATTCAAATGTGAAAGTATATAATACATATAAACATTTTATATAACAATATAAATAATAAATAATACAATTTTATTTTATAAAATGGGCGTTTAAGTACAAATTCAATATACATGTTATTTATAACTTAAAATTAAGCATAAATATGTGTATATATATAGAGAGAGAAAGAGAGAGAGAGAAAGATGAAAATGTGTGCAAATTTAAAATTATGTGCAAGCGTTGTTAGTTTCGTTAAAAAACTGATATTTTTATTGTACAATTTGCTTACACTTATAGTTAAGATGTGTGAGCGTACTTTGTATGATTAAGTAGCCATTGTTCACAAACGAGCACTATTAAAGGCGATAATAGTCCCCGATTTCCTTCGAGGAGAATCAAATGTTTTCGAGGACCAATCAATTATTACAGTGAGCAGTGAGAAGTGAGGAATCTCTTGAAGTGATTCGACTAAACATATATGTAACTATATATATATATGTACAAGCATGATCGACCAGTAGCTAACTTAACACTCCTTGAGAACGTGAACAACACCACAAGATTTTTAATATTATATTTTGACAATTTTAACATTACATAACATTTGTACGTTATTACTAAATAAAGAATGTGTAAATTAAAAAATTAAGATAAATAACACACTATGTTTGAAAAACAAAAAAATTATATATTTAGAATCAATTTTTATTACTTTTAGAATCAATTTTACGCAATTTTTAATGTTAGCGAAATATATCAATATAATAAAAATCTACAATATAATAAAGTCAATATAATATTTTTACTGAATATTATACGAATTGATAAATTAAGAATTACTATGTAATAATTGTGATAATAGTAAGTTAAAACATATTTTAGTTTATTAAATTCTACCAAATTCTTTTTAATTAATTACAAATGTATATAATTACATCAAATTTTTAGATAAAATCTGTATAGAAAAATATTAATTATTTAAGATATTAAGAAACATGCAATACATTATATAATTTGTATAAATATTATTGTATAGATATTACATATTCTTTGGTAACAAAAAAATTGTTTTTATTAAATGTTATACTTAATAATATTACATTTACGTTGTAATTGCAGGCGAGGACCTCCAACGCGTAATATGTAGATCTATTTTTTGTCTCAGGTTATTATAACACGTGATTACAATTACTGGACACGACGAGGTATAATATATATAAATATTGTACCTTATGAAACTTCTAATACTCTGAAATACCGACATAGAAAAAAAATCAATGGTTTTTTAGCGCACTCTGTATTGAAGCAAACAACGAATTGAAGAACCACATCACTAAAATCACAGATGCAAACGAGACTTAATTTGTATTATGTACTTGTTTATTTCTGACTGTACATTGTATATCTCCGATCATATGTTGATTTATGTTACTTCCTTATCTCCGACTATACGTTGGGCGATCGTACACTGACCTGTATTACTTAACTGCCAAAATGAGACACGAAAGATTATTGGATTTTGGGAAAAATAATTTATATTGTTATACTTATTGCACGCTGTTGTCCACTTTGTCTATCGCGCGAATATGTCTATCCTTGTCGTACACTATCACTCTCCTTGTCTACCGCGCGTATATCTATCCTTGTTCCACTCTATCGCCCTCCTTGTCTACTGCGCCTATATGTCTGTCTTTGTCGCACGCTAGTGCTCTCCTACTCTAATGACGTTAGACAAGAAAAGCAATAGTGTGCGACAAGGACATCCTTCGATCTATTAAAAAAAAATTCAACTTTTTACACACATGTTTTTCTACGACAAAATACACATACAAAGAAATCGGGGAGCCTAATTCTAAGGAGACATATAAAAAAGTTCGCAAATTATTCCTCTTAATTAGGTTTTTCTCGTAATTAGTGCGAACTGTCATAAAATGGACATGGTGGCGCCATCTAGCGGTAATTCAGAGGTACTAATTAATTATAAAAATACTTATTTCTGCATTTTACGGGTCAAATGGGATATGAAAAGAAACTACGCACGGTACCCCATTATAATTTATCGTAAATCAGTACTGTTGTATTAGATATAAAAATTTTCGTTCGTTTAAAGTCTTTCGAAATTATAGTTTCAGAGACAAAGAAGTTTATTTATTTCTATTCTGCAACTACTTCTTCTATTATTGATTAGAGATTTTAATGCATTTATAGAAAACTTAAAGATGCAAGGTGCAGAGAATGCACACAATGTGAAACAATGTTAACACTGTGATGTGATACTTATATACTTAATTCGGTCGCTTAGTAATAAAATATAAATTATACATTATAGAGAAGAAAATTTTTATAAATATTTTGTTTCTTTTTAATAAATTTATAAATATTATGTTTTTTTTAAATAATTAATTCTCTTTAAAAAGAAGCGTTTATTTTAAACAACTTATTTTGTCCCGGTAAAATGAATTTGAAATTAATAACAAAAAGAACAGAATAATGTAATTTCTGCCATATAATAAATTTACAAATCTATTTTATTTATGGCGCAAGGATGTGACGTTCTGGTCAGCTGATAGCATGAAGTTAGCCACAGTCATCTGTCAGGACGCCATTGTTATTGTGAAAATTTTGTTGTCGCGAGCTACAGTGTTCTTTGTCTTTCCGTACAGTTTATAATATTATATTTAATATTAAGAAAAATTATACGTGCGTATAATTGTAAATTGAACGGACGCAAAACATCGTAATGGGTCTTATTTGTTCTACGGCGCAGGTAAAAAAGTGAAAGTCTTGTACTATTTTCTTTTTCAGAAAATTTCTCTATACCTTAAATTATTAATTGTATTGTATCTTATTCAATTTCATTTGACAATTCTATCGTTCTTTTATTACGAAAATAATTCTTATTAACATGATTAATTATCGGATGAAAATCTAATCAATCGTTCAAATTTAATTATCATCTCGATTATGTCATCCTGTTCTATATTATATTGATTTTTTGGAAACTCTTTACAACGATATCTATGAAAATTAATTTTTTTTAAATGCTATAATAGTTTGGAATTACGCTTTTCGAAATAAAATTCAAATAAAAAAGTAGTTCTAGAAAGTAGTATTAAATAATAGTTTTACAATCGTTTTACCACATATAGCGAGAATGGAATATATACAAATGTTACAATACATTAATACAAATACTCTTATATAATTCATATTGATTTGATAATTTTTTTCATGTAGCTTGCTTGCCTTTGTGGAAGCACAGCTTGTAGCTTTTGCTGTTCCCAATGTCCTACATGTCGCAACAGTACAAGTACTCGTATTATGTATGCATTATTATTAATGCTGGGAACAATTGCTGCTTGCATTACATTGGCACCTGGTTTACAGGATGCACTTAAAAAGGTAATGATTTAAAGTATGAAATTATATAATGTTGAATGAAGGTATATAATAAATAAAAAATATAAATTAATCTTCTGTATACGTTACGTTCATAGGTTCCATTTTGTAATACTAATAGTTCGAACTATATGCCATCAGACTTTACTATTGATTGTCAGTCTGCTGTTGGATACTTGGCAGTGTATAGAATATGTTTCATTATAGCTCTTTACTTTTTCCTAATGTCAATCATGATGATAAGAGTAAGAAGTTCTAAAGATCCTCGGGCACCTATACAAAATGGGTATAATAAAATAATTTGTCATACTTAGATTATGTACATTACAGACTATTAATTTAATACATGAATTTTTAGATTCTGGGCCATTAAATATCTTTTAATAATTGGTGGAATTATTGGTGCTTTCTTTATACCTGAAAGATCATTTGGAATAACATGGATGTATTTTGGTATGATAGGTGGTTTTCTTTTTATTATTATTCAATTGATTCTGATCGTTGATTTTGCCCATACATGGGCAGATAACTGGGTAGGGAATTATGAAGAAACTGAATCAAAAGGATGGTATGTTATATTATTAGTCTTTTTTTTTTTTTTGATTACTACAAAATAAATAAATTTATATAAATTTATATAATTAAAATTATAGGTATGCTGCACTTTTGGGAGCAACGTTATTTAATTATGCTGTTGCTATTACTGGAATTGTTCTACTGTTCATATACTTTACACATGTAAGTTTTAATAAAATAATTATATTATTTTGTTAATACTTTTAAAATCACTTCTATTTATTATTGTTTTTTTATATAGGCAGATAGTTGCGATTTGAACAAGTTTTTCATATCTTTCAACCTGATTTTGTGTGTAATTGTTAGTACTATATCAACTCTTCCACATGTGCAAGAACATAATCCACGATCTGGGCTTCTTCAATCTTCTATTGTATCACTATATGTTGTTTATTTAACTTGGAGTGGAATTTCAAACAATTCCGGTATATATTCTAAATATGTAAATCTAATATATTAATATTTATTTATACAATAATTTTTTGTGTTTTTTTTTCAGATCATGAATGTAATCCTGGATTTTTAGAAATAATTTCTGGTAATGATGCTAATGCACGAAATCGTGTTGCCTTTGATAAGGAAAGCATTATTGGATTAATTATTTGGTTTAGCTGTGTATTATATAGTTCTTTACGCACTGCATCTAAGTCATCAAAGATCACAATGTCTGAAAACATTTTGGTCAAGGATAATGGAGCTGGTATGTAAATGTAGCTTTATTTATATTTTACATAAAATTGATGTGTTTTACCATTCAAGTAATTATAAGTAAATGTAGTAAAACTAACTATATAGTAAAACTATATATTTAAACATATATTAGTAATTTGTTAAAATGTTTTTAACAAATTGTACTTTCTTCATGCAGTCAGGAATGCAGGAGACCAAAGTCTTATCGGCAATGAAGGTAGGCACACACTATTAAATTAAAACCAAATTCGCTGTTTTTTTATGTCTTACTTGTTTTGTTTTGTTATTAAAAAAATGTAGCATCATATAGTATGTGTAATATATTTTTATGCATTTGAGTAAATTTAATTAGTTTTCAATTTTTAGAAAGGATGAGTTATATAATATTTATTTTTTAATAAAATCAAATTTTGAAATATATACAAAATATGAGGATGCTTAGCAGTAGCGTGTGCCTTCTTTCACTATTTTACATTTTTCTCTTATGTTTTTATATCCGATGTTTTACATCAAATAATTATATTTTCAAAACAAGTATTTTAATCAATTAATTTTGATGCTACATAAAAATGCCTTCTCCTGCATTAATTTTTACTTTATCCTATGCAATGCTGCTTGATTTATGTATACATAACTTAAAACAAATTTATTATAATATGCATGAATGTAATATTTATGAGCTTGCTTTGTTATTAACCCTAATAGGAATATTTGGCCCATTGATAACGGCATTGTAGATAGATGTTTTTTTTTAAGTTATTCCTCCTTTTCCTAATTGTAACCAGATTATACTCCGGTAGAAGGTCGCAATGTTGATTCAGAGGCTGGAAATGAAGCTAAAGTTTGGGATAATGAAGAAGATGCTGTAGCTTATAATTGGAGTTTCTTCCATCTCATGTTTGCTCTTGCCACTTTATATGTTATGATGACTCTTACTAATTGGTATCAGTAAGTACATATTTGTTATTTATTTCACATAAAATTATACAACTTTATTATCCTAAATATATAAATTATATTGTTTTTATAGACCAAATTCCAATTTGGATACCTTGAACTCTAATAATGCTTCAATGTGGGTAAAAATTATATCATCTTGGATGTGCTTAGGGCTATATGTGTGGTCACTGATAGCTCCAGCAGTATTTCCCGATCGAGATTTCTCTTAAATACATTATCTTTACATCAAGAGTGGCAATTAGCAGGTATATAAATTTATATAACGTAAAATAATCAATATTCAAATATTCTTAAACTATAAACTTTATTATTATTTATGAGCTTCCAAATGTGTAAAATTTATATATTTATAAAACGATTGATTATTTAGTTCAGTTATTTAAAATTATTATCTATAATATATAATAATATAATACATATATAATATAATTATATATAATGTATTATAATATATCATATATTATTATATTATATATATAATGTAATTATATATATACATAATGTTATAGTATATTCTTCAAAGTTACATTTCTTTGCGTAAAATGTTTAACTGAAAGTATGACAATTGTGACATTAATATTTAAATTAAAGTATCTTTACAATCAATAAGTAATAATTAATATAAACAAATATATATTAATAAATAGTTATATATTCTATTATACAATTTTATTTTTTATTTTTATTGTACATACGTTTGGAGGTAAAGATAATTTATAATAACAAAAAATTATAAATATATGCTTTTAGATACCTTTTACATCTCAATGAATGATTACTTATGTTTGTTATGTATATTAAATAATATTTAATTTAAACTTCTTTTAATTTAAACATTTTTTTTTAATTTCAGTTTTTGTAATGCTTGCATAGGTTAGGATTTTGTTATAAAATTTTCATCTGTAGAAAGATGACATTGTAAGTATCATTTGATACATTGTTTTGTTCAATATATTTTTAAGTTAATTTTTTTTTAACGTCATTAATGATACATTTTTATATATTATGTATACATATATACATAGTGATGCAGTAGTGTAATACTTTTTTAAATAAGTACAGAGTTTACCATAGAAACTATATGTTTGAGTCATAATTGTTACGATCATAATTGTTTTATGATTAATTACGAATAATGAAAATATGAATTATTTCTTGTATTTAATTTAAATGTTTAAGGTATAATTTTATGTCCTTGTATAAAAATTAACAAATTTTAATTAAAATGAATAGAATAGTAATATAATGTCAAAATATACATACTTAAGTTCTATATATGCATGTATATATGTTTATGAACGTAATATCGCATTTTACATTTAATAACTTTAATGTGATAATAATTGTATACACAAAAATATGTCCTTTTTTAATGATACTCTACTATAACTAAAATAATAAAGAAATCAAGTTCAGAGAAATGTAAACGATATTTTATTACTCCTCAATAATTGTTTTATTGAATGATATGTTTTATTTAAATTTAACTGAATTATAGTTAAAACAGAAATAACATTATTAACTGAAGACTCATTACAATATAATATTAAACACATAAATTTATCATTTTGTTTATAATTTTCACCAATGTGTAATTCATTTAAAGTAATAAAATAAAAAAGATGCCCTTAAATAAATAACATTATAATAAAGTAACTAAATTGAAATTTGTATATATTTGTATTCACAGAAAGAGTTTTAAAAATTATATTAATATTAAAATATTAATATTAATATTACAATTATAAAAATATTTATTTACAAATATTTATATGAATCAAATATAAGAATATTTATATAAATTATAATTGTTCTTAGCTGTCATATACATTGTATATGAGGGCAAGCTATAGGATTTCATTTGACTAACAATGAAATAAAATTTGTAGATGCTATTTACAGTATTTTTGATTAAATTATAATTATTTGGTAAAAAAAATTATTGTACTTTCGATAATTGTTTTGTTGCTTCTGGCGATTTTTTCATTAAATAACTTTTAATATTTTGAAATGGTGTATCAACTAATAAAGTAAGAATTATTGATAAAACAATAATGCATAAAAATTCATTTAGGTCGAACTGTAAAAAAAAAAGAAATATATTATTAATAATTACATTTATCCATAAGTTTGTATTATGCTAAACTTACTTGCATGCTAAAGAATGCAAAATGTTCTGCACTTCGAGTTCTTCCAACATTATAAAAGTATATTGGAAATTGAGTTAAATATATTGCATAACTCAGCCTTGTGGTAATCAAAAATCCTTTCCATGCTAAAAATCTAGTGAACCAATCTAAAATTTCATTCATCAAATTCATGTATTTATTGTACATATTATTGTATGTATAGCAATTATTTATATTTTTTTACCGTTTGTATTTCCAGTATGGTACATTACAGTTGCCCATGCGAAAATGGCACACCAACCAATAGGTGCAAATGCATTATACATTGCTGCATCTATTGGGTTGTATATATAATTTATAGATCCCATACCTGCAGGTCCAAAAAATGCACAGCAGCACATTATTGTGCATAGAATCCAACCTGTGTAAAGAACTACCTAAGAAAAGAAAATATGAAAATAATTAAACGCAAAAATAATATTACATGAATTTATAGATTGTATCTTAGATCATAATCTTTACTTACTTTATTTATCTTATAATCCTTAGGTAAATGTCTTAACAAATATCCCATAAAAATTCCTATTATATAAACTGTCAGTCTATGCGAAGGTAGGGTATATGAAAAATCTGCAGTATCGAATAGTTGTTTTATTCTGTAAATATATAAGTTTATAAGTATTCTAATAACGAGATATAAAGAAAATTGCATTGCAATTGAAATTTGTAAACTTATTAACTTACGAGGTACCAAAGAAGATATAATTACTTAATTCTCTGTAATATGTTACAAAATATCGAAGTGCCGTTGAAAATAGAGCAAACACAGTAAGAATGATAGCTCCAATCTTTGGCTTTTTATAAAGGAGAAGCACCATTAAAGGTGAAAAAATGAATAGTTGAACATCTATGCCTAAGTGATGAGTATGTGTGAGGCACTAAAATTGAAAAATTTTAAATTTAAAGAAAATTATTTAGTTAGCCTGTCTCATCTGTTAATTTTATAAAATTTAACATGAAATACCATACCATAGATTCAAATCCAAAATAATTATGGATGAATAGAAAATTTCTCCACCATGTATTTTTACAAATATTTGCATGTTCAGTTATCACCAAGTTCCATTGTGGTCCAGAACCGATGTAAGGTATTACATAAGTGCATAACAATATCAAAGTTGCCAAAGGTGGTACTATTCTAAATACAAAAATCAATCTAATTAGTAAAAAATTTTAAAATTAAAGATAAGATATTCATTCTAAAATTATCTCTTATTACCTGATCAAGCGCGATATATATTCATCTTTTATATCCAAGTTGCCAGTCTTCTTTAATTTTCCAATAAAAGAATATGATGTCAAAAGGCCAGAAAGCATTATAAATGGATCTGTGTAAAGACTGGCAGCTCTTCCTATGACTGTCCATGGTTTACCAAGATACTGAAAAAGATTAATTTTATTTTTATTATATCTCAGACGTGATTATAAATAAATCTTTATTTTATTATAAATTAATTTCTTTAAATAGCGCAATCATACTTCGCTCATCTCCGTTCTGTTTGCATAAGGATTAAAAAAGAGAGCCATGCTTTTATGAGCCAAAAGCAGCATTAGTGCATTTATAGCTCGTATGCCATGAAGTGTAGCTATGTCATTCTGCCTTCGTTCTAATGATACAAGCTTTTTAAAATTACGTTTCAAAGAAAACGATAATAATAGTTCACTCGCTGGTATTTTGTAATGATCATAAAGTGCTGCTACGATTGTTAAGACAAATATAGCCATGACGAGCAAGCTGAAAAAGATATTAGTTACCACTTTAATACAATACTAAACATTATTCTCTGAACGTCGAAATATTATATTAAGAATTTATTTCCTAATTTTTTCTTTTCTTTTCTTTTATAAATGTCTTTCTAAGTATATTCACCTAACAAATATAGTTTCGTTTGGTACAGGTTCTTTATTCTTTACTTGACACATATCTTTGTTCACCTTCACTGTAACTTTTAGACCAGTTTGTGAAGTGTATCTAGTAAGCATTTCGTGAATAGACGTTTCAACGTCTTTGAAACTACATGATGCTGGTGTACAGACTGCCCAATTTACTATATTAAATCGAGGTACACGATGTCCAGGCTAAAACCAAAAAAATAAATTATTAATAAAAGTATAGATAAGATATATTTTAACATACTGATTAGGAAATATTTCATTTTTAAAGTGTAATGAAAGCGTATATTTAATAGTATTATCTAATTATATCAAATAATACTAATATTATATATTATATATATTTAAAATTTCTTTATGGATGATCTTCATTTTATTTTAAGTGTTTTAAAATATTTATAAATATATGTAGAATTAAGAAAACAGCAGTTAATTAAGAGAAATACAATGTTATTTGTAATATACAATTTGTAATATAAATTCTTTATTCTGGAACTTTAATTAACTAATGATATTTTATTGTATATAAATTTTCATTATACTTAATATTTAATTATTTATTTTGTAGGTTCAAACAATTTTTAATTGTAGATATAAAAATACAAATTATTATAGATAAAGATACAAATATAAAATATTCTTATACTTGATATAAGTAGAGAAGTGTTATAATAATTAGATATATATATATATATATCTACAACATTTTTAATTTGAACATTTCATCACATTGATTTCTTTACTGCACGAGAAACAATAAAAATTTAAAATTAATTCATTAACAAAGAAGAGATTGCATCTCCTAATTAGATTCAGAAGAGAGCAATTCAATATTGAAGATTTTGTTACATATCCAATTGAAAATCTATATAAAAACACAATAATGCGTAACAATAAAAATAATGTATCATCGTATTTTGATATTTTCGTCACACTCTGAAGTACAGAGTGTAATTCCAATGCGAGACGTGTTACAAGTAAGAACACGAATCACTTTCTCGAATTACGTTACGTTGTCTAAAAGTATTGTATTGATTGTTAAACTTGTACAAGTTGTCGCAATGAGAAGATAGTTTAGAAATGATATGATTCTGACATAATATCTTCATGAATTTTATCATGATAGAAGTATGCAATTATTTTACTAATAGCTTTATGTACTATGTGAAGAGCATAATTGAACATCGATACTTTAAACTGTTATAACTTTGTAAAAGAGAATCATACAACAATCTGTTTGATCTCATTTTAAAGAGTAAAGTTTCTACTTTGATAGTCTTGAGTTCGTGTTTTACAAAGATGTTTTTATATTACAAAAAAAGAAAACGGGTGAGAAAGTACGAATGCTTTTATTCTCGAAACTTGTAAGAAAACATTGAAAAATTTTTTTCATGGTAAGATTAAGCTCTTCTTTACAACAAGTCCTTAAAATTTGCTGTATGGTATAAAATCAGCAGATATTTATAGAATTTCATAATTAAAGAAATAGAGGCTAAGCAGAAATTTGATTCTCTTTCATTATATTATATATATTCATACTATACAATATACTCTACATACTTTTATATTATTATATAAAAATAAATGCATAAAAATCTACGATCTAAAAGTCATTAAACAAAAAGTTGCGGAAATCTTTACAACTTTTTTTAAAAATGAAATCAAAAACGTTCGAGAAATTAATATTAATATTTTTACATTGAAATTGTTAGAGCTAACAAACAACATGGCATATAGAATGACCTGATAAAATGTATTTGGTGTTACTATAAAAATACACAGAAGTATATCTAGAAGTATTAATTTTAGAACACATGTTGACTTATTTTCATTTTTTTTTTTTTTTTTTTTTTTTTGATAAATACTATAAATTTTTTATATAATCATGTGATACATGTAAGAAGTAAGCGACAATTTGATAATCAAAAATTGTTTCCATAAAGCTTTTGATTCCGATTTTGGGTTTTCAGTTTTCAATTGTAGATACACGGTTTCTTATTAGCAATTGTTTGCACGTTTCACGGTGGCAGATGCCTTCTTTGAAATTCATAGTACATTCCTGTTTTCGCTGCAGCTGCGAAATTAAATAAATTTCTTTTTTTTTTTTTTTACTCTTTGACAGATTTCTTCTAGCGTATCTCAATTTACATAGATATTTACATGAGAACTGCTGATCAATTGTGTATTCGTTTACAATAACATTCGTTTACATTCGATCAGCATTCTCACGATGTAAAGTCTCAAACGCAGAGCTTCTCTCTGATAACTCGCGTCTAAATTTAAGGAAAGATTTATATTCACCTTCGTCATTGTTCTCTAAAGTGAGTTTTAGAATTTTCTATTTTTTTTTTTTTTCGTTTCTGAGAAACGAATGAAAAATGCTAATGATTCAAGAATACATTTTATTATATAAATTGTACAAATAAATTTTCGTTGTAATACCTACTAGTAAATTTAATGTCTGATATTTTAATTCTTTTCCGAGTAGTAAATTTTATGTCTGATACTTCAATTCCTTTTCCAAGATGCAATATTTCAGACGTTCCTAAAATCGTGGACCATTTCAAATTTTCCAGCGTTTTAAAATTTTATGCGTGAAGATGGATTATGAAATGAAATAAATGAGATAAATGAATATGAAAAAAAAAGGAAAAATTTGAAATATTCTTGGATTACATAAATGAAAAGAAATGATTTATTATATAATTGTAAGCCATGAATTTAAAAAATGAATAAGTTCATTTCTTGACATTATACGTATGACTTTTTCGTACGAATTTTTCCAAAACTCAGATGTTTTATAATATTTAATTAAATATTTATAAAAATCTGAAAAATTCCAAAATTACAAGATTTAAATAATTTTTTAACTAATTTCTAATAATTGCATCTTTAGTGCATATGTTGTTGTATGTATTATTATACTAAAATTCGAATTTTTCATTTTAAATTAATTATTATAATTTTATATATATTTTTTTTAAATTTGATGCTTGAATAAAATTGAAATAAATCAAAATTTTGATATTGTTACAATTAATTGCAGTCTATTAATATTTTATTGTATTATTTATTTATTTACTGCATGTTATACTTATATCTATTATTTATATGTTTACCTTTTTTTATAATTATATAAATATCCTATTTTATAATTCTTTCATTAATTCTTTAAATATTCTTAAATATATAAATAATATGTAAGTAATACATAAGTAATGCAAACAGCTATACGCACAATTATTTTGTAAATATTAAATGTTTATGTACGCATGTAGTGAGATACTTGTAAAAGATTTTACTTCATTTAACTCAATGTTAAGGAATCAATGTTCAATAGGTATATATCTTTAATTATGATAATTCTTCCACAATGTGATTTTAAATTTAAAAAAAACATACATGTACCTTCGTCGACTTCACTGATATTTTCATTCTTGTATGCAAAAACCGCAATGTTAAATTCGAATACGTCAGCATCGTAAAAATATTATTGCCTTTTGCTTTTGCATTATTGCGTTGTGGTTGACAACCACACGTACCTACGTACTTACATCGGTAATGTTGCTTCTGAACGCGTAATGAGAATGTATCAGCCGATGAAGATGCTTCAAATCCAGACGCGACTCGTCGACGCTTAACTGAAGATACGCCAAGCAGTATTGTCCTTGAATCCCGTCGTTTCCTTCGATTTCAACGCACTCGTCGTAGTCGCCAAATTGATTTACATTTCCGTTTAGAAGGCCAGACGGTATTTTCGCCGTTGCATCGTACACTTTGAACAAAGGGAACGATTACTGAAAACGAATACGGCGAATAGAGTTTCTTCTTTGATTCTTTTTAAATGCATTTTAACACTGGAACTACCGACGACCAAACTATTGTATAAACATTTCAACCAGAGAAATCAGAGTGCTTTATTCACATGTTTTGCAAAAATTCATTGTGAATCATTGTAAATGCAGCATTGTAAAAATGCAATCATTGTAAATCTGCCAAACTACTCTAAAAAGGAGAAATAAATTAGTTATAGCTTTGATGTTAAAGAAATTTATTTCTATGAAGTTTAAAGAAGAGAATTATGAAAAGAACATAACAAATGGATCTCGTTGATTTTTTTTTTATTTACTTTAACTGATATGAATATTTATATTTAAAAGAGAAGGGAATTATTGGAAATGAAGATTACAGAAGAAAAAGAACATGACGAGTAGATTTCCTATGATGTTTTTAAATATATTCCAAAGAAACTTACTTTTGTAGAATTCAAAGAAGAAAATTATTGAGAATGAGGATTACAAGGAAAGGATATGACAAATGGATTTTCGATTCTTTAAAAGGAAAACAAATTATTGAAAATGAAGATAACAAGAAGAGAACACGACCAGTTCTGATGAAAATCGAAACAATATCTAATGATACTAACAATAAGAAGAATGTTTTAAAAATTAGAATTGCGAAATATGTGGATATGAGGATTTATGGAAATCTAAATAATGCGGTTTCCAGTAGAATGATGTAACAAAGTAGTAAAATTGGAAAGAAGGTACGTTTCTCGTTTCTCAATCTTCATTGAACATATGACAATAAAGTACAAGTGAAAGTACGCTTTAATTGAAAAAATTCTATTGTTTAGATGATCTACGATGTTAGAATTGTTGAGAATAAAATGAATATTGGAAATGAAATATTTTTTACTAAATGTAAAATATATGGGATGATCTACGCAGTTGGATAAGTTGAATATATGTAGGTATAACAGTGATAATAATAATATTAAAGTTTATATTAATACAACTTTTCTAATTGCAATACAAAAACAGATATGATATGATATTATTATACTTACTTTTAAGGGCCCATAAAGTGAACTTGGCAAGCTCTCTGTGAAAGATTTCAGTGTGCCTCTTGCATTCTGGACTTACTCGTCCAACGCCAGAGTCGAAAGCTGGGAGAACTTGCAACAATCTCCTTGCTTCTCGATCAATTTCCTCGGAGTAATCATCTAAACAATAAATATCAATGCTCAGTTAACGTATCTACGTGTATTTTCAACATTTTCATTATTTTTTCATTATTTCTTAACTTGGATTATTTATGATTTATTAATTTAAATAAATCTATTTCAATATTAGAGCTATAAGAGACAAATATCAATGCTCAATTAACGTATTTACGTGTATTTTCAACATTTCTTAACTTTATTTATGATTTAAATAAATCTATTTCAATGTTAGAGCTTCAAACGAATTAAAAGCATAAAATTTCCATCAGAGACATTAAAGATGGAAAAACTTTAGAATTAATTAACAAAATAGAAAAAAATAGTACGATAAAGTTCACTAAATTTTATTTATGCATTTTACGAATAATCATTTATTTTAAATCTTTAAAAAATACACAAAATACGTATTTTGAAATATAATGTATTTTAAAAGTCAACTTTCTTGGAAACGAAATCTTTATTTCAAAAAATTTTATTCTTTATTTCTGATCTTCATTTTTTTTCTTTTTTTTTTTATAAGGAACTAAATTTGATCGTACTATAGTTTGCGGAATAGTTTCGTACATGGTATACATTTGCATAATCTTAAAGAACGTTTTACGACTACTAATATTACATTTAACGGTAGATGTCGTTATAAACAGGTTTAAGCGATCACTGCGAGCTCGAGCGACGTAAGAATTTTGTTGTTGAATAAACAGATGATGTCTGCGTTACGTGAATTTTTTTTACAAAGAAGTTTTATTCAAATTTCGTCGTATATTTTTACCTAAATAGTTAAATAGTTAAATAGTTAAAATTTTAACAATTTCTTTAAAAAAGTACATATAACGAAATTGCTACTAGAGGATCTTTATTTTGGATCCAAGTCGAATAAATCATTTTCAAATTTCATATTTTTCTAATGTTTTTTCTTATTAACTTTTCATCATATATTGTGCCATTAATGGCTCGAGGTAAACATTTTTGTTCTTCGACAAATGCCTCCCTTTAGCATGTGCATTTTCTAAATAAAAATTTATTTTTGTTTTTAATTTTAATTTATTTTTATTTATTATAATTTATTATAATTTTTATTTATTTTAATTCTAATTTATTTGTATTTATTTTAATTTTAATTTATTTTTATTTATTTTAATTTTAATTTATTTTTATTTATTTTAATTTCAATTGATTTTAATTTTAATTTATTTTTATTTATTTTAATTTCAATTGATTTTAATTTTAATTTATTTTAATTTTAATTTATTTTAATTTTAATTTGTTTTTATTTATTTAACACTAATGACAGACCATTTTATCCTTTCTACACAACCTTCGTTTGCACTTACAAATGGCTCTCGCATATTAAGACAAAAATGTCCACAGAATCCTTTATATAACATCATTTATATTATAAATTTTATAACGAGTGAACTATGTAGTCGAGGACAATGAACTTATTACTATATACTATAAAATAAGAACTTATACTATAAAATAAGTATATCCACAAAATTTCATTTAGATATTCGAAAAATGGAATAAGTTATATTTTGACAGAGAGTAAGAATGAAAAAAGTTGAGTACTTTGAGTATATTATCAGAAAAATAAGGTCATCATGATCTACGGGTTTTTATTGTGCATGATAATTTTAGCGAGGACTGAAAGATTAATAATAATTTTAAAGTGAACTTGTAAGTTTAAGATGATAATAACAGTATTATACAATAGTTAATAGTTAATAATAATTTAAGTTTAAAATGATTAATGATAAATTAAACACACAATTAATTTCTTTATTTCCTCTTTCACTACGGTCCTGTGAATAATTACATTGACAGTATACCAAAAGTTATCAAATTACGCAGAAATTTAATAAAGAAAGAGAAAAGAAATTTAATTCCAGACATGAAGGGTTAAATCAAGCTCTTCAATAAAAAAAATTTAAGACATTGGAAAGAGAGCAAGTCCAAGTTCAGCCCCCGTCAGAATTTTTCACACTCTTTCGACACGCGAAATCAAGATCGAGGCAAAGTTGATTCAAGAAAGACTTTCACTTTCCTTCTAGTCGTCTCGAGGATACAGGTGTATCGCAATGAAGTAACGTGTAAAATACGTGTTTCGCGTGCAAACAGAGATTACAAATTGAAACACTTCACATCGGGAACTTCATTTCGAGTGGTGTGCCCTGATTTATGGGGGACTATAGTTTTGAATAGAAAACCCAGCCTTGCCGGTTCGTTCGAACCAGAGGGTCGTGTTGACAACAGAACGTTATGTCCATTTCAATAGCATAACTATTGAGACGAAAATATTTAAACAAAACGCGGAATTGACAAACGATGTCAACGATTTGTAACCATTTTGAGGTTAAAGAATCTCCGAAGCTGATGGAAAGAGGAACAATGGACTCTTTCCCAATTTTCATTGGCTCAGAACTCGTCTGACGTCGCAAAATAATCTGAAAATTGCGTTTTTTCGGACAAAACTCGATTCTTCAAGTTAATATTTTGATCAATAGAAATAATTGAAAATAATAGAAAAATTTCGATAGAAATTTTTTTCTATGAAACAACCGTTAAAACTCTGGAATCCAAGATATTATTCATTTCAGATCAATTATGCGAACAAGTACAACGTGCTGAAGAAAAAATTCTGAGAATTAAAGTGAAGCCAATTCGTTTAATTATTAATTATTATTAACAGTAAATAAAGAGTTCAAATTATTGTTTTATGCATATCAATGGTGGCGTGTTTTGACTATTCAATTGTATTTTAAGCATATTTCAATTCACGTACAAGCTTTGAAAAGAGTCTTAAAAGAATAATTAACACTAGAACTACCAAAATTAAGACTGATTCTACCAAACCAGTCAAAATGACTGGTCTTTAAAAAATATGCAATAGATTATTTTATATACTTATTGATTTGTTACTTTCTTACAGAAGCAATTCCATGTTATGTAGTACGTTTTTGGTTAATTAATAGGATTAACGAAACGTTGTACCTGTTTAATTTGGTTGTGTTATACAAATTTTTTTGACAAGTACCAGTCATTTTGACTGATATTGGGATAAGTAGCCACGATACATTTATTTTGATTTTGAGCAAATAAAAAAAAAATTCATTATATTATTCCTTTAGTTATTGTTACAAAAGTCAATACATCAATGTGGGTAAAGAATGTAACATGAAGTAGGAATTTCAAGACAATTGTCAAACCATTTTAAGACAGTTGTCATTTTAACTGGCGTGGTAATTTTTGTGCTAACCTTTAAGCTTTCATGTAAAATCTCTATGTCGATCACTCTTAACACTAGAACTACCACGCCAGTCAAAACGACTGGTTTGACAACTATCTTAAAATTCCTACTTCATGTTACATTTTTACATGTTACATTGATCCATATTTACTACAAACATATAATTTGATAAATCAAATTTCTATTTGCAATATAGAAGTTCCAATAGCTCCGTTTCTTCCATTTTTTTAATTACATTCATAGTAGTGTAAAAATTTAAAAGTGCATAAAAAATCGACAGTCTATTACACAATATTATTAATTCCTCATTAATCTTTTAAGATTCACTTCTGTAATATTGATTGGCATTCATAGTTGTATATTCTTCAAAGTATTTCGTACAAATTGACAAACATCTACAAAATAATAAAATAAAAAAAATCTAAAATAATAGAATAATAAATAATAAAATAATAAATCTAAAATAATAAAATAATAAAATCTAAAATTCCTTTCTGATACAGTTTTATAAAATTCAGAAGAACTTACAGGGATTAATTATTATAAGTATCTTGAAATGAATTAAACATATTTCGATAACCTCTTGAATGTTAAATTATCATGAATATCTAATAAAAATTCAAAAACTCAGTTAAATTCTTACGATTATAGCCGAAGGTGATTAACCATTTGCTAACATGCAAATGACGACTAATTCAAAGTGCAAAATATTTCTTGGAATAGCTTTATTTCCACGAATTTCTTTTATCTCCTTTTGTATCCTTGAACGAAACCATCGGAACGGTTAGAAACGGTGCTTTGACCTTCTCCAAAATGCTGAACCATCTTCCGTGATAGCTCGTAGCGTCGGTCATTGATCAAGTATTTAAGTGTATAGTAGATAAACGTCACGTTTGTAGAAAAATTCCTGAACGTGAGCAGCACATCAATGACAGAATCTCCGCGAACTTTTGATACATACTATATATTTGTTCGCGCGCTAGTTTGTTAATACTTTTACAGCGGGTGTCACACAATATAAATTAAAATAAAATAACAAAATGATCTTATAAAACTTCTGTAATTCTGATAATTTCTACATAAATAATATCTTTATTGCCTTTTATCAACAAAATTTTGTAACATTATAAAATAAAATTACATAAAATTTCATTCATAATAATTCATCTATAATTCATTTATCACAATCCATAAAATTTTATCTGTAACAATCCATCTTGTTCGTCCATGATCTATCCGTTACAAAAATTCAATAATCTTCGAAGGTTAATCAAGCTCGTTATTTCAAGCTTAACTTTTATCGCGAATAATTATTCAAACTTATCTGAATTTTAACTATCGCCCGGACGAAGTTGTCGCTACAGATAAAACCTAACCTAAACACGTGACAAAATAGTAAAACTTATGTAACATGATCGAATTAAAAAAAAAAATAAAACGTCTAAAACAGGTAAAATAGGCGTAGCATATGTCATGCCACAAAATCTCTCGAGGTTTTGCATTCCGTTTTCTGATACTTTTTTTCACGTTTTTGTTACACGAGAAAAATCGACGCAAGCATCATGCGGCGAAACACGTTTATCGGACTAGCATCGATTAGGACACCTGCCTCCGTGTATTAATTATCAGGTCACTCTCTTGCAAATCTCGAAGCATGCAAATCAACCGTGAGTGAAAGTCATAGCCGTTTTCGCAACAGTCTGCTTGCGAATATTTATTCGGGGTTTTAATATGATCGAAATGACGAGGATGA